AGTCTCTACACGATTGCTGAACTTTTGAAAAATCGACTTGAGATGACACTTGTCAAGACTACACCAGAAAACACTGCTTAAATATTCCCTGCTATCTAAACATCATTATAGCTGTTGGACATGTCTAATTGATGCCATGTTGTCTACATTATTACAGTTATCGACATTTGCAAAATACAATAAATTTGAATCTGATTTTAAGGCTTCAGTTCTGCTGACTCTTGTATAATGTAACAAAAGTTTGTTAAAGCCAACTCTCCTCTGACAGTCTACTATCATGTCCAGATTTGTACATGCAGTACCATCAAGCTAGCCGCCCCATCACCTGTGATTGATCTTGGAGTGACAATTTTTATTTAGCCTTTCGAGAATTCAGCTCTCCTCCTCCCTGTCAGCCCCCAAGTCTCTTATCTGCTCCGGGACTGTTTGTTTTTCCATGTGCTGAGAAAGAGGACCGATCAATGTTTTGAGTTATGAAATGACAGTGGTGCTGCCAAAGGCAGTCTCTCAAACACGGCCACGGCAGACAGACTCTCATTTGCCCCCTTCTCCACCACCACAGATACACCAAATTCATCACTCATCTCTGTCTATTAGCCCTGTAACCACTGTCTGTCTGCAGGGTCCAACAACTCTGACAGCTGGACTTCAGTGATATAATCCTTTGTTTCTCTTCCACAAAAGCCTTAATTTTCAGGTAAGTAACCTATTACTTCACAATAAAATTTGCAAGGTTATCTGCAAGAGCCATGTGGGTTTTTGTGTTGTGTGCAGAACACAACTAGAAAGTCCAGTGGGTGTCACCTTTCTGCTTTGCGTCAAACGCAATTTAGGTAAGAACCTTTACTGAGGTGACTAATAATGTTGCTACGCGGAGGGGGAGCAGCAATCGTTTTTTGGACCGCTTCGCCAGGCACACTACACTGGGCGAGCTGTACTGTGTGTCGTGTTGAAATGTTTGATTAAATGGAGCTTTAGGGACTATGTTATGGATTCTCGCATTTACCTGAAGACCATTAAAGGTGAACAACAAATAAAAATAAATAAATCTGCTCCTTTAAATCAACTACAGGGAACTTTCTTTTTGTGTTGATTTTGGCAGCCACTGTGATGCAACTTATTTTTATATAATATTTTTCTTATTTAAACACAGCTGGTTGCAGGATGCATAAAGATGAGGTAAATTATCTACTTGTGGCTATGTAAGATTAATAACGAATATGACAATGGCGAAACAATTGAAACTTTGTTTTATAATAATCACTGTGCCTTTTAGCTTTTTTTTGTTCTTCAGTCAATTATTTTCTTTTTCTCTTTGCTGATCCTGCCCCAGTGCCAGTCATATTCACATATTTTGGTGGACAATATATAAAGGTATCTTATAGAGTTTTTGACCACTAGTAATTCTATGGAGCAATGCGGTCAGTTAATTGTGTACACCCAGAATATGAAAATGTAAGATAAGCTGCCACTCAATATAGACTACTTTCCAGGCCTGAGAACAACATTTTCAATCACAACACACGGGATGATAAGTGAATGAACTTGTTTTGCTTTTTTATGTACTGATGCTTTTCTTTGCCACAGTAAGCGCACGCCCCTCTCTTCTGATCCATAGAGCATGGACTTGCAGGCCTATTAATTCTACAAATTTCAGATTAATTACAATGTTCAGTGACAACAGACTCACCACATTACTATACTATACTTTCTACTTAGCTGCGTCAAAAGTATTACATTTTCAGTTCGGGTCTTTGTCCTTTTTATTTTGTCAACCCTATATTCCAACAAACAAGAGGAAGGCATACTAAACAAGTGGCTTCTCTGCAGAGAAGAAAAGGTGGATGCTAATCTATTTTTAGTAACTTAATTCCCTCCAATGCAGCCCTGCCATTGCTTTGACCCAATTTGTGACCATTCTCTGTTGGAGGCCTTAGCAAGCCTCGAATCAGTGTGTGTGTGTTTGTGCGCGTGTATTTTGAACAGGAACAAACAACACCAGAGGCATGCATTAAGGGCACGTCTGATCAATGTGACAACGATGCAGCATTTAATGTTGTTTTGCTTCCATTATTTGCAAAATAATCATTTCTGTTTAATGCAGGGATGAACCAAGTGGGACAAAAGTTATAATCCTTAAAGGGACTATATGTAAGTTCTTCAATGAAATCAATACAATTTTCATTGCCTTATTGTCAATGGGCTCTAAAACTCAGAAATGAAGCACACGCCTGTTTTCTCCGTTGCTTGCATCAGACACTATTCTGCTTTTAATGTGGGGACTCCGGGTCAGATTCAACTCTGTGCGCGCTCCCATGCCTCTCTCAGACTACAGCGGCAACACGGCAGCTAACGACATGCAGTCCACTAACACCAAAAAACAACCGGCTCACAGCAAAACACAGGCTCCACGTAAGGATACAAAACAACAAAAAGTTTTATGTGCTGAAACCCATCAGACCAAACAGGTTCAGATGATGTCGAGTAAGAACAAAGTGAACATTAGTAAAGCTGGAGAAACACAGAGAAAGTCACATTAGCTCACCGGCTAATGCTGAACAGTTGCTAATGTTATCTGGTGTAAAGTTATATCGCTTTCCACCAACGAGGATGGATTAGTTCAACCTGCAGCTGATAAAACTAATACTGTAACGTTGCAGTAGGGGTTTAACTGAGTTTACAGTATATTTTGTGAAGCTGTCTCCCTGCGTGTCTATATTCCAGGAGGACTGTGCAGAATGCGGGCCGGCTAGGCTGAATGAAGTAACGTTACGGAGCCGGTGTTGATCTGCCTCTGAGCCGGGAACGTTGAAGTAACCGCTGGAAACTTCATAATGCCCCTTTAATATTTCAGTTCTGGTTGATCTGGTGACACCTGTTGTTTCCATGGTGTCACTGTTTTTGCGGCAAATGCGAATATGGGGCTACACATTTATTTACAGAACAGCCAAAGTCACATTGTTGTAATAAAAATGTTACTCAATAAAAGACCTTTTTCTATCATGTCATGATTAAATGACGCTCGAGGGGTAACAGTTTTTCTAACTAACACATGCAATGATGTGGAAAATTCACAAAGAAGTTGTATATGTCACAAAAAAACTGAAAATCACTGCACCATTGATTTATATGACATACTCTGAGGAAAAAAATGGAAATAAAAAATGTGATACTAGAGTGATCTCCAGAACATCTCCAGAATCACTCTGAGATAATAAGACACTAGCTGGCTATAAGACAAAGCTGAATAAAGTTTAATACAGCCTAAAGCCATTCACACTGGGCAGAAAGTCTCCTCTTGTGACAACTGTCATTTTTCCATTTTATACAGGCATATTGGAGGGCAGCTTTTGAAGTTCAGGCCATTCTGAGATATGTCTGCCATCGCAGCCATGACGAGAAGTGACTGGAGAATTCTTAGATTTATTAGCGCTCTGTGAGCTGGTGTCATCAGAGATTACGCCCCCTATCCTTCACCGTTCCAACAGCATGTCAACCACCGAATTTCAATTTCCCTGGTGAGAGGACGGGAAGGCTCTGGCTGGCGACCCTTTCTTGTGACCCTGGGGTTTCACGATGGATGGGGGAGGTGGAAGGGGTACAGCTACGGGATGCTCATGAATTAGGGATGACTTCAGCGGTGCATTCAACTTTGGCCGTTCCGCCTGTATCGCCACAGAGAATCTCCCTGATAAATGGGCATCAAAGGCAAGCAAGACTGCTCTTCTTGGTTAGGTATTCAGAGGAGCTCATGGTCGAGTTTAGCTCCGTTTAAGCCATGTTTAAAACATGCATCACTGCTGCTGGCACCTTGGATTCTGCACACTGACTGTCTGGTAAGGGACCAATCGGAGATTAAGGTGGTCATCTACATTTTGGGTGTATACATGTATGTGCAAAAAATTATCAGTGACTAAAAACCACGCTGGCAGTCGACATTGACTACCTGCCATATACAGTGTGCTAGCCTCAAAAACCCAGGTGTTTTCTAACTTTAACTTAGCTCTCCTTATTAGCTAGGCTACTTACATGCTTGCTAATAACTTTTTTAAGCTGAGTCTCCGACATTCACAGCGTGCAGCTGTGTTGATGAGGGAGAGAGCGAGAGAGAGAGAGGGACGGCCCGAGAGGATGTGCTCCGCGAACACGCTATGGCGCTCTGCAATCAAATATAATTTTAAATAAGCCTAGTAAAAAAGAATGAAAATCAATCTGTGGTGGTCAGCGTTGATATTGTGGCGGGCCGCCACAAATAAATGAACATATGGGAAAGACTGGTCTTGTCTGTTGCACACTAAGTAAGGTGATTAATTAATTACAACCTACTATAGCCATGGTATCTCCTAATACTACTTAGCTAAATGTTTGGCTGACTGCAGCTTAATATTCTCAACATGATGAAACCATACACAAAGTCAGTCAACGTTTGATTGTGTGGTCTAGTTATAGTTGACTAATGTATCTAAACTTGCTAATGTAAGAACAGAGGTTACATAACCTTTGGAACAAGCCACAATTTAACCGCGCACATGCCATAAATGCACTCCGGTATTTAAACATGTAGCATTACACCTCTGGCAATCTGTAAACTTTTTCTGATGAAGGTGGCAGCATCTAGAGGCAATACCTCTGATTTACACACACCTTCAAGCGCAACACAGGTGTGAGGCTGCCAAATCGGCCAGCATTGCTCTACAGATATTAAGCGTCATCGACGAATATATTTTCTTGTAAAATGTCCGAGGGTAAACAGTAACACTGGCATTGTCACAAGTTTATAAACTGTGGGAAAATGTCCTCACTGTGGCATCCTTAACAGGAGCACAGAGATAGAGACGCACTGGTAAAATCTAGACAGCTGATACTTGCATTTAATGATTCAATCACTTTTTTTCACTTACTGATTATATGAGGATTTAGGAGTAGAATGCTGATTGACACTCCTGTGTTCCCACAATAAAACTGCTACAGTGTGTGTGAGTGTGTACAAATGTACTGACCATCCATTCTGAGATGATGATGTCCACCTTCTCCACAGGGAGGCTGATGTCTTCTATTCGGCCTTTGATTAGAGTGATCTTGTCCTCCAGCTGGTTAGACCTGTAGGAAACATGCATGATTCAGAGGACTTAGAAACACACAATTTTAAATCCAATTTTCACTCTCCTATTAGCTTTGGTCCAGTGTCTACCAACTCTGATGTAAATATATGATTGTTTAGCTGCTAAATACTCTTCTATGTTCACTAGCTGGTCATCAACATTTTCTGTCTGCTGTTTGGTGGTGTGCAGGTACCGTACAGTGGTGTTATCTGAGTTTTGTCAATATAAACAGCTGCATACTACAAGAGGAAATGAAATTGATAAAAGCGGTCAGTGTGGTAAACAGTTACACTAAGTACAACCAAAACAATATGCTGAAAGATGTTGAAACGCTCCCTAGAGCTGAGAGGAACTGCAGAGTCAGGCGACGATTCTCTGTAGGTTCATCCAGAGAGAGACCCCTTTCACACATAGTCATTTGACCCCTTGTTAATATTAAATAAAATGATAAGTGCAGCTTTAAGCCTTGAACATCAGGCACATTTATACAAACTTTATAAAAATCGATAAAGTATATATCTAGCTATATATCAAAACTGTGCACCAATCAATTTTCAATTCAATTTCCATATATTTTTGGGCAATTTTTAAACTGGTCAACATTTGGAGATCACCATATTCTTTATCATGTACAGTACATTTCCATTTTTTCCTGAGCCATGTAGGAAGTGTGAGAGGGTAGAAACTGTAACTGTGCACCTGAAAAGGTGTCAGTCTCAGGTTGGGACAGTAAGACCAGTGCTGCTGTTTAAATGATCCTTCATTTCAGACCGGCCAGTCTGGGTATCAATCTCTGTGAATATTCCATTATCATGACAGCTAATGTTACAGAGGACAGAACAATTACTCACAGCGGCCCAGAGTGCATTTCTGTGGCAGCGATCCTTATCTTGAACTGTCTTTCCCCTCTCTGCTGCTCTGCTACCGCCGCTATCACCTCCTCCCAGAATCCAACACACCCCTCACCCACAACCCCCCACCGCCTCCACCTTTCACAAGAGGGAAACACTGTAATCTCATTATTGGGGTAATTTAGAGGACAATGTCAAGACTCTGGGGAGAGAGTCAGTATCTGTGCGGCTTTGTAGGTGTGTGAATGTTTGTGTGTGTGAGAGAGGGGTTGTACATTTCATCATAGGGAACCAGTGTTTGAAAATAATTGCTGTCTTTTGACAGTGGATCTATGCCTTTGTCATACAAATTAGTTTTTTCCTCATAATTTTGTTACGCGTTACTTACTTACTTAGATATTAAAGCTAGAGTACGTAACGTACAGCTAGATTTAAAAAATCCCACTCCTCCCCGTCGGGCCAACCTAAAAAGCCACATGTTCATGTGCTATGAGTGCATGCAGGTAGGTAGTCAACAAATATAACATACATTACCTCACATAGCTTTAAAGATACAAAATTTCCAATATTGTTTAAATTTTCCATAACCAATTTATTGGGGAAAATATGTTTTCAGAATGTACATTAAGAATAAAAAATAAAATGGAAAGAAATAGTTTTTAATGACTTAAACAAGAACTGTAACATAAATAAAAATAACAAAAATTACTAAATAAAAACATTTTAATCACAAGTGGCCATGTGTAGTTTTCAGCGGCCTCTAGTGGTGAAGTTTCAGATTGCAAGCCCGTGCACATGCTCAAACTCACGAACGAGCCAAAACAGAGCCCGAAACACCTGAGACAGCCTCACACAGAATGCTGGAAACTAAGGTAAACTCCCACTGCAACGTTACAGTAATATTTTTATCAACTTGATGCTAAATTAATTCATGCTTGTTGCACGATAACGTTACACTGACTTAATTTAGCTAACAGCTTTTCAATAACTATTTTCGTATCTTTCATCAGAGAGGCTCAGCAATGTCAGCACAGAAAAATGGATGACAACAAAAATGGTTAATGAGCTACACTGAATAATATAAATGAGATTGTTGCCACATTTTAGTATTAAAGTTAGACCATAGTAAGTAATGTTAGTGTACTAAATGGGTCTTCCACTGTGTTGTTGTCCTGCACCATTATGTTGCATTATTGTATATTATCTGGGTCACGTAAGTTACAACGACTGAGACCAGCAAAGAAGCTGTGTCCCCGAGTATTGGTTTAACAAAAATAAATCTAAACTGAATGTTATGAAGCAAATAATGCCAGTCCATGCAAATGTAGCTGGCTCCCCTGCTGTGCATCACTATCGGTTTTAGAAACAAACCATTCCACATTTGCTTTGTACTGTTCAATCATTTCTTGCAGGCTAAAATCAACACTTTGACAAGCCATATAACTTTTGTATTTTGCACGGAATAATGTTAGCAACTGGTCGGTGTTAGCCCGCAAGCTAATATTATCTAACTCGAGCCAACTAAAGCACAAAATCAACATCTATTTCACGTGCTTTGCAGTAGTGTTAGTTTACCTGTCCGTTAGGATGAAAGCCAACTCTCATTTGGCATGACAGCTTCAGCACATATATTATATATTTATTTTTTTCTTATGTGGAGTTTATATTGTGTTGTGTTGTTTTTAGGTGTTAGAAGACTCCATTTTGTGTGCTGCTGTGTTGTCGCTGTGTATAGAGTTCAGAATCAGCAGACAAGAGGCTCCAAATCCAACCCTATTTCGTCACGTAGATAAGACGCAGCACAGTGGCAGTTCCAGGTGACCGAGAAAGCAGGCGAATGGTTCACTTTTATGTAAGGTTACAAACCGTTCACGAATAGGCAATCAAAAAGGGATTCATTTCATTTAAAAAATACATATAGCCCCTTTAAATTTAAATATTTTTATTTTAATCATGTTTTGGAATAACATGATTACAAACTTTTCAACATTTGACAGGATGTGAACCTAAATTACACACATTCATATAGTTACTGGCTGGTAAAACGCTTATCAGCATTCTTTGACCAGAGTCAAATAATGATTGATAAACATCCACATCCATTTTGTCTATCTTTAGTTCATATCACAATTAAAATTTCACTATCTACATAATATATTGTCTATTTTTTTCCCCGACTGTGTTGTCACAATTCAAAGCCTTCTATTGGATAATCCATCAATTCCAGCCATTAAAAAAAAAAACGTATTTAGACACTATCCATTAAGGAAGTGACTGTGAAGGAAGGAAGTCACGTCTAGCTTTTCATTTAAACTTCGGTAACGGCGTGAAGACAGGAGATGGATGCTCCTGCTTAACCAACAGGAGCCACTTTAATTACAATCCTGATATTAACATCAAGAAGAAGTGACGGACACACAAACGCTGCCCACGCACGCACACATACAGAAACAAGAGCTATAAAATCACAACCCAGGCAACCCAAACATTTAAAAAGGGACCCAAGGGCAGAGTATGAGTGTGTTTCTGTATGCATGTGTGTTGGGGGGAGGGGTTACACATCTTTCTTTAGCTGAATCTTCACCGCTGGCGAACCTGCAACGCAGCTTGCATGCCAACACGCACTCCAACAGTGAGTCAGTGGGCTGTAAAATTAAAACGTCCTTTTCCTTCAGCAAACCCCGTTGTTTTGCTTATACGACATTCTCTTACATAACGGTAATAATAGCAGTCATAATGGCCCCTAACTCAAAAATGCATTTTAGAGGCATGGGAGTGTAGGAGGAAGTGGCTGCAGGTAGTCGTAGGGACAGCAGAGACTCTGGTGGAGGTAAATGACTCCACTGTGGAGAACCAGCTGCTGGAAAACTGAAAACACACAGCACATGAAATTGGTCTGAGGACTGTATTACAAGGTACCAATAGGGGGTCATCTACATGTTTGTGTGTGTGTGTGTGTGTGTGTGTGTGTGTGTGAGTGAGAGAGAGACTGTAGGTCTCGGACTGAAGCTACTGCAGGGAAGAAGAGGCGAGGGGTGAATGAGTTAGACCGCAGGTGTAAATTATGTACATTATGCCCAGATGACTGACAGCAGCTCTACTGAAATCAACCAGGTGCAACAAATAAAACGTGGCTGGAGGTCACACAGACCTCGATTCCCACAATCCTCTGCTGCACACCCATCTATGACCAATCCCAATGTCCACACTCACAGACTTATTGAGACATGTTCCCGGTAAGTCTGTGAGGGCTAAGGGCAGTCCCACTGTCAAATCGTCAAGTGCGCGAGGGCTTTTCAGCCCTTTTTAAACCCTTTTCGTAAGTCCACATTTCTACATACTTTGCCTGAGTGAACTGCCCACAGTTCACAGCGTTGTGATGTGAAACACGGGGGTTACCAGGCGAAACCGAAAGCGAGAGTGAGAGAAAAATCACAGCAAATCCGCCTTATAAGAGGAGAAGAAGAGCGGTAAACAAATAAGCATGGAAACCAACGCTGATGTTAAAATTGTAAGACAAAAATGTTTTCATAGATTTTAGATGGAAGATGGAGAAAAGCAATCGCCTTATTACACAACTATTAATTTTAGTTTTTTCTTAATAGCCAACTGCTGTTTTGACAAACAATAGTGCAAGAGCCTGAAAGACATATTGGGCATTGGAATTGGGCCCAAGTCTCAACTCTATGACATACAAGGCAAGGGTCACATGACTGACAGGGATAGATAAATTAGCACTACCGCTAGCGAGCTAATCTACTAGCATTCTAACTGCTGACTGAAAGACTTACAATTAAATTTGTCATTGTTGTAAGCGCCATAAATTAAATTCCATTAACCTCCAATGTATTTTAGTTGAGGCAATTAAATACACTAGTGCAGTGCCCCTTTGCAGGGGCCGATGTGATGCCTCCCAGCCCTTTTTATTGAAGTACTTGTTTAAAATGTGCGTCTCACATTGGTGTCACCTACAGCATTAACAATATGGAAACAAAACAACAATGGTGGAGTTACTGCTAGATATTCAGCACTTCTTTAGAACGTCATAAAACGTTTACAACTCCGTTTCAACACATTCGTTTCTAACTCCGTTTAACAATTCGTTACCACATTGGAGCATATAAGCCCTGCCAGTTTACTCCACCTTTGCTGTTGCACAGCGGGGGCTCGCGCTGTACTGTAGTTTATTCAAGGTTTAATAATTCTCGCGTGTCCAAATTGCACGAAATACAACACTGTACTCCCTTGGGTCCGCAGCAACACATTCACCACGTGTGATGTATACTAGATGAATGGTTCTCGGCAAATACAAACAGACAGAGAGAGAGAGAGCGAGAGATTCCTGCCTTTATTAGAGAGACAAAAAAGAAGGGATTGATTGCAGAGTGTGTGTCTCACCTGACAATGTCCATAGCCTGATAGATGATTTCTGATTGGTCGACTGCTATGACCTTCTTGGCCCCAGATCTGGCAGCGAACATGGACAGTATGCCAGTCCCACAGCCCACATCGAGCACCACCTGCAGGACGGTAGGCGAAGGGGGTCGGGAGAGAGGAACAACTTAACACACAGCCTGAAGTTGGAAGAATTATCAATAACACACAGCTATTAATTGGGAGAATATGTTGACCTACACAATCTAATGCATCAACTAAAAAAAATAGCTGTAAAGTAGCATTTCATTACCCTATCTGGTTGAAATTTTCAAGCCTGTTTCACCTCTGAGCCCACCTTGCATCACTAATAGCTGTGGCAGGGTCAGAAATGTGCTATGTTGCACGTGTTACCAAACCCCCCAGTAATGTGAGAGTCCTGAAGCATGGATTTTGTACTCCACACCCTTTAAAAATTAATTCAGGCATCAGTATAAAATTCAACTGCTGATGTTGCAGTGTGAGCAAGGTTGCTGGTCAGATTCTTCTCACATTGTCACCCACCAGTTTGTTTGTTGGCAAATTACAAGCGTCTCGTGCAAACAAATTTTTGAACAATTGGTAAAAAAAAAACAACAAAAAAAAAAAAAACTTGTCTGGATTTATTTTTTCCCTGTTGTAGGACAGTTGGACAGTGAAGAGGCAGACAGGAGAGAGTATGAAATGCAACATACGTCTCTGACTGGAATAATATGCTTATGCAATATGCTTTTGAAATTTATCAGAAGCATGACTTTTCAGCCAAAGGCCATTATCAGATGAGATCTGATGAGCTACAAATAAACTGCATTCATGCAACGTTTAAAAAGTCGTCTAATAATGTGGCGCTTCAGCTGGTAAATGGCATTACATTCACGTTACTTTGTTGGAAAATTAAAAAATGTACAAACATTGTCGCAGAGGCTGGGAGATTTTTTTGAAGGATTTTATGAATTTCAACTACCAAGTGACTTTTAACTGCTTTGGCTTCCACATCTGCACTTAAATCTGGCGGTCAACTTATACAAATGAATGGTCTGTTTGTTAGGTGCGCTGAGCTCGTCCTCAGCACCATTACTCTATTCATCTTCATCCCCAACTGGGGTTAAATGACTGAGGCACAGCTGCAAAGACTATATATGCATCTATATGTATCACTGTGTTTAAATGTGGCTCTATTTAAAGCTACCTGCTGTCCCTGTAAGCATCCCGCTGCCTTTATTGGTTCACAGAGGGTCGGCAACACACTGCTGACTCAACACAACAGAACACAACACACCGCACAACTCCTCGCTCCTTTCTCCATCTTTCTGTACCATCTCATCTTAACAGTACTGAAACAAGAATATCCTGTTTTGTTTTCCATCTAGCACTTCCTGTAGAAGGTGACACTTCCCTCTCTGCCGAATGTTTCCCTCTGACAGGGATAATGTACGTTCCCATCAACACAGCCTGCCTTTCTCCTCCACAGCCTCATCGCAGCACTAACCAGCAGCCACCCATATAATGGATGGTCATGACACAGGCCACTGCTTCCTGCAACTAAAGGCAATGGAAAAGAGAATGGTGGGGGTGAGGTTTTTATTTTGGGGGGGGGGTAGGGTCTTGGTGGACGATTGCATGTGTCTCTTATCAGCGCTCTGCAGTCGACATTCGAGGTGCTAATAAAGTCACACTGTGTTTTAAATCAGACATCATCGCCTTACTAATGTCTTCCCTGCACAATTCACAAGCCTATTTCTGTTAATACACTTGGCTGTACATTAAACCAGCTACCCTGCACATACTGTATACACACATTATTACACATATCTATTTGCGTTTGCTCAGATGGCTCACCTTGTCTCTGAACACTTGAGGGTTGCGGTACATGAAGTCGCGGTAACTCTCTGTGCGAACTTTATCCTGTGAAGAGAATATGTAAAATATATATGAAGCAACGCCAACTTCTCTTGAGTGAAAAAGTAAAAATATATAATATTATTATATAATATATAAAATATTATAAAATATAACATGTTAATGTGTAGTGCAAATTCAAATATGCTGCAGGGTTTCTAGGGGTTACGGGAAGGTTTGTAAATCTAACCATTTGCAGTTCATTTGCATTCTACAACTGCTCACCCTTTTTGGGAAATAAATCTTAGAACATGGCATGTAAAGCTTTTTCTATACATGTGCAGAACAGCAGATCAAAACACACTGTAGCGGATTCTTGGAAAAATTCTTGGACCAAATGTGATGAATTCAACTCAGATATTTTTGTAATGGAGGTTAGGTCAGGACTCGCTAATTAACCTGCCAATCAAATCTGCCCACAAACCGCAGCACCTCTTCTCGAGAGGAAAAGCTACAGAATCTATTGAAATGACGGTAAAATGCATTAATGTAAGATGCAGTGGAATCGAGGGTGTTCTATTCAATACTTGGTTTAAACAGAATCTTGGAAGATAATTACACAAAAGAAAGTTTTCAATTAGATAATCATTAGTAATGTGAATAACTAAAAAGCCATTCACTGTTCATTGCAATCAGCTAGATCAGTCAAATAAGCTTTGATATTTGTGTCATCACGCCACAGAAACACAAATGTATGCTGTATCACCATGTAAATAACTGAAGCCCATCCTGATACGGAGCATCATAGCAAAATATCATTATTGGAGTCAATACATGTTTCAGCTGTAATTACTTCCAGACTTTTAGATTGTAGATGTCAAACAACATTTAGATTTACGGTTTAATGATTTGGAGAGAACATTTAATTTCTGTTTTTATGACACTGCAGCTGCAAAACAAATGTTGTTGCAGGGTTGTGGGGTGTCGTCTCAAAAGGCTCTCAACATATCAGCGGTGTCGTGCCATGAGGGTACTGTTTAAGAATTTGAAAAAATCTGAGCCTGCCCATTAAGACAATGCTGTGTTTATAGAATGTATAATTTAAATATGTAATTAAAATCAGATGTTGCAGATTTACAGTGTTCAGTCTCTTTTCTGACCACAATGGGACACTAAAACTATCCACTGATAATGAAATTCCTGAGTAAGCTGTAAGCTCCGTAAAGCAAAGTGAGGCAGGTTTTCTTTGAAAAGATTCTCATCTCCTTCATGTCACACCAATTGGCCAGTATCTGTTTTTTAATAAATCAGGCTAATATGTTCAGTGACAAATTAAAAGTTGATTTATTTTAAACTAAAGTGATGTCCATCTAACTCACACCCTCTTTTTCAAGGGGTCTCTCTCACACACACACACACACACACACAGAGTGCGTCATAGGTGATGCACTTTACACCAACCTGTGAAAGAGTTGACCACATTCTACCGCAAAGCCCCCCAGTCACGTGTTCTCCACCCCTCCTGAGGCTCTGATGGAGTTGACAGCCTGACGCACACATGTGACGCAAAACTTAACAGTGCTTAGCACCAATCAGGACAGCCAACAGGAGTATGTCTAAGCACTGCGGTAAGTAGAACAGGAAGGGAGGAGACAGAACTGACACCCCCACCACCCACCCCCGCAGGCTTGCTGACACTTTCAAGTTTTATGTGCTTGAGCACTGTAAAAATTAATTTCCACGTTTCGAGCATCCGCCGTGTATGCTGGTGTCTCACATGAGAGCTCAGCACTTATTGCTGATTTGTCACTTTTGAGAAAATGTCTTGTCCTCAGTATCAATGTGTGCATAAAGATGATCATCTTCATTTACGTGCTACATCGAAATCTTTCAGCCAAGACGTACGCTGATGAACCCACTTTTGCTCTGCAGAGACTGCTGCGCCCGCGGGGAGTGACTCACAAGACTGTAATGAGACCTGCAGGCCTGGTCAGTGTGTGTGTGTATGTGTGTGTTTGCCTGCACAACTCAGACCTTCAGCATCTCCTCATGGATGCCATAATGGCCGTAGGAGCTGAAGTAAGCCTCGTCCTCGTCCTCTCGGAGCTCAGCCACAGTGCCCAGGTTACCAGATCTGCCCGTTTCTGCATTCAGTACCAAACCCTGAGCCAGCAACCTGAAAGATCAGCGGACAGATCTGCGTTTAACTTCTCATATTAGCAAATGGGACAAAAGCAGCGACCAGAAAGCAGAAAGCACACACAACCTTCATGCAGGACATAGCAGTAAATGGAGGAGATGGGAGGCATTCATCTTTCTAACTCTCTTCCTTCACCCCCCCACCACTTTCAGTAATTTTCCCGTTATTGCCCCCCCCCCTGCCTACGTCCCCCCTCACTTTAACCTCCATGCTGCAGTGGAATTTTCCCTTCCCTTTTTTATCTTTCCTGTTCCTCCAAACTTCTTCCACAAGGTACTCTAGTTGAGGTTTCTGCAATCCTGGGCTCACTGTGTCCCCCTGCTGGCCTCAGGAAGGTATTGCAGAAGTAAAGCAACACACTGAGCAGACTGCAAGCTCTCAAGAGCACAAAAAGAAAGAAATCAACCCAAGAGCAACAAGAAATTAGCTAATAGGATAACATTATCACACTTAGTGGTTATACAACAACATGTGGAAATGCAGAAACATCACTGACTTAAGTTTGTGTAGGTCATCCATGGCTCTGGCCAACGCCTCCTCTGAGCTACGGGCTCTCTCTTCAGCGGCCTGTGCCCTCTGCAGCAGTGCATCATGGGAGCCTGGCCCAGATGACGGACACGTCAACTGACTCAACCGCTCACTGCCACAGAGCTCCTCAGGGTCTGCCAGAATCACAGAGACAAACGGATATATAAAACACAGAAGCAGAACACAAAGACTCAATACAGTGACTAACTCCTGCCTCTGATCCATTTGTTTTAATGTTTTAATGTTTTTTGTTAAGTCTTCTTATAAAAACAAAATTATATTTTTAGTCAATACAAATAATAGTAATAAGCCCTGTAATTAACAATAACTCTATATGAGAAATGGGTGTTGCTTGCCTTGGATGTGTTTGTTTTATTTCTGTGTTGGTAAGATTTCACCAAAAATTAAATTATGTTACAGTCACACCTTTTCAGCGGCTATATAGCACAAATATCAATTATCAACAAAGACAACAGAGATATTTGGACTGTTTAAACAGATTCAGTGCAACATCACACATTAGTCTCACTGAGTCCAGAGTTACATGCAATATGTTTGGAATTCCCATTACAAAACATCATCAGAGAACAAGGCCGTCTTTCTAGTCTATCATTTAGCACACTCATGCAATAATCATACAGGGAGAAATGTACTGCAGATGAGGCTTAGAGACCAATTTCTATAACCAGGGCAATGCCGCCAAAAGACAGGCTGGGGGCTAAATAAATAATAATAATACCCGTGCTTGTTCTCAACCTGAAAATCTGTCACTCCTCTCCTCTAATGCTCTCTGCACTTACACGCATAACAAAATCATGCTTATTCTCGGAGTTCTTTTCAAGGGGTTTCTGGGAAACATATTTTTGACTGCAGTATAAGCAGGTGAAGCTGGTTGAGAGAAAACAGCTATACCAAAAAATTTAAATTCCAAAACAAAAGTTAGTCTGTGAATGCGTGGGCAGACTAATCGTGTTTAAGAAGAAAAAAATGCAACTTGTGTCACAAGACACAGGACGTACAACAGTTGGGTGATCCACGCAGAAGGGCAGATTGGGCCATCCCAATCAATTTTTCAGTGACCATGTTGCCCAGCGGTGAGACTGCACCATCATGGAATCCCAATAACGGTCAAACATGTTTCACATTTCTTTGTTGTTCTTGTAGTCTGAGCAGTTGCATAAGCACATTCTCCACTCCAGCTCAAATCAATACAGTTGTTAGTCAGGTAACGTGACATGTCCTCTGACAAATGTCATCAGGAGCATTTTTAGACAAACTGCAGTCAGTTACTCTAAAGTAATAAAAATAAAATCTGTGCTGTACCTGTCTGCAGCAGGGGGTCGTCCTGCAGGACTGGTCGCAGGAAGTCTTCGCTCTCCCAGGGTAAGGGAGCATCTGGCAGTCCCGTCAAACAGGATGCATCACATTTCTGTAAACAATCCACATTATTCATTAATTCTATTACACTTTAATGCTGTATTGAATTTACTTGACTATCTTTCAGCAGATGTTTTCTGATGTTGCTTGGATGAAATATTAACAATCAAACAACACAATGTATGAATAAAAATTTCAAACACAAGATAAATTGAACAATATGTACATTTAAAAACATAAATTTTGCTTACAGCAAACATTTTTAAATGTAAGAAATAAAGGGTGTGAACTTTACATCTGTTCTCTACAGTATTAAATCAGATCCAATTACAGACAGTACTTACCGTTGACCGTATGAAGTTGATCATCTTTATGTAACCGTAGTCATCCAAATCTAAAAAGGGAAAAGAAGGGTGAGCCATTTCAACAAAACTGAATAGTAAGTTCTTCATTAACATAGAGAGCATTAGTGTCAACTTACTGTATTTTCTTATCACATCTACAAGGCTGACCTGGTGCTCAGCCGTGCAGTGCTGTAGGGTGGCAGGCACAGAGCTCAGCAACCTGAAACACAAACGTACGGTAGGAAAATCTGTTTAGTCTAAAACATCAGAAACTTACACATATTAATCTTTCCAAATCAATAAAGATCCTCAGATTTATTGGTTTGTTGTATACAAAATTTACTGGATCATAACATTAAGTTAAGTAGTAACATACAGAACTAAACCTTGAATTTTTCACTACTATGAAATGCTTGTTGTGGTTCTCAAGTTTTGATTTTCAATTATTGCATCCACTTATGTCACAGTCCTCAGGTTTTAAAGCAGGGAGGAAATAGTAATGACTTGGTTTGGGTTGTGCAGAATAAAGCAAAATAATCTTCCCTAGACTGATTTTTATCTTAAAGAAACAGAAATAACAAGTAAAAGTAAAGACAGGTAGATGGGACTTTCAGTCCGATAACTGACCACTAGGTGAAACTTTGGATTCTAGGACCAGTGCTTGTGGAAGAGTAATTCATCTGAGGCAGCTTCTACAATTTATTTAAAAGCGCCTTTCAAGTCACCCAAGGACACTTTACAAAGTGTCAGGTAATACAGTTTATACATAATAAAAGATAGAAGTGGCAAGTGTGCTAACAAGATAAAGAAATACATTGATAACATACATATGATGAAACACAGAATGTATTAATAATATGCATATGATAAATATGAAGTAGGTGTGTAGGGATGGAGAAGACTGGATAGGAGGGTGCTACGCCATGGAGACATTTATAAACAAGAAGTAGTACTTTCATACAAACGCAGTATTTAACCGTGAGGCAGTGCAGTTGTTGAAGGGTTGGGGTGATGATCTAAGTGCAGCTTTTGATACAGTAGATCACTCAATTCTTCTAAACAGACTGCACAAGCTGATTGGCCTCTCAGGTACTGTTCTTAATTGGTTCCGATCATTTCTCACTGATAGAGAATTCTTTGTGTGTATTGATGAATCTCTATCCAGAAGACATAAAATGAATTGTGATGTCCCACAGGGCTCAATCTTAGGCCCGACCCTTTTTAATTTGTACATGCTGCCGCTTGGAGACGTCATCAGGCATCAATTTTCATAGTTATGCTGATGACACCCAGCTATACATTGCCATGTCCCCTGATGACCCAGGACCAGTAGACGCTCTTTTTAATTGTTTCCTAAACATACAGTCATGGATGGCAGAACATTTTCTGCAGCTCAATCAGGACATAACAGAAGTATTGGTCATTGGTTCTGAATCTCAGACGGAGAAACTTAAAATGAAATTGCGAATGCTGGCACCTGTGTCCCTGTGATAAGGTGAAAAATCTGGGCATTATCTTTGACTCAGATCTCAGTTTTGATTCACATATTAGAAATATTTCTAAGACCGCTTTTTATCATCTCAAGAACATTGCTAGAGTACGACCCTTTCTCTCTCAAGCAAACACTGAGACACTTAACCATGCTTTTATTACTTCCAGGATTGATTACTGTAATGCTCTGCTTTCTGGGCTTCCGAAAAACAAAATCTCTAAACTGCAGCTGGTTCAAAACGCTGCTGCACGTCTTTTGACTAAGACCAGAAAGAGAACACACATTACCCCTATCCTAAAGTCTCTGCATTGGCTTCCAGTTAATTTTAGAATTGATTTTAAAATCCTTTTACTTCTTTATAAGTCATTTAATGGTATTGGTCCAGAATACTTAGCAGATTTACTTTTACCTTATGAACCTACTAGAACCCTCAGGTCCTCTGGTAGTGGCTTTCTAATTATTCCTAAAGCCTCAACTAAAACCTACGGTGAGGCATCCTTTCAGTGTTATGGCCCGCGTTTGTGGAACTCCCTTCCTGTTTAGCTAAGAGCAGCAGGAAATCTGGACGTTTTTAAAGGCAAACTAAAGACATACCTATTTAACCAAGCTTTTAACTGAGCTGTATTGGGATTGATTGTTGGGCTTGACCTGCTTTTTATTTCATTTTTTAGTATTTTAACTATTTTAAATGGTTCTATAGTGTGAAGCACTTTGTGTTACATGTATTTGTATGAAAAGTGCTATATAAATAAAGATTGATTGATTGATTGATGTGCTCTCAGGACCATGTGTGGCACAGAACTCCGGCAGCTGAATTCTGCATATATTGTAGTCTGTTTAACCCCAAAGTGGGTACACCGAGGAGAAGGGCATTACAGTAATATAACCGGGATGTGATGAAGGGGTGAATGAGTGTCCCTGCATCAGAGTGTGGGGCGCAGTCCGGTGATGTTTTTGATGTGTGTCAAAACAAAGAATGGAGTCAAAAGACCAAGATTATTATTATTATAAGATACCAAGATTTTTCATCTCAGCAACAGAGGATGTTATAAAAAACAGGGATGGACAAGTTTAGATGGAAGACTTTGTGAAGTGTGGCGGGGGAAGCAATGAGAATATTCTCAGATTTAAGTTTAAGGTAATTGCAGGTCATCTAAGCATTAACATCATTTAAGCACTCTGTGAGGTTGGATGGTGGTGCATATGTAGGGTTGTGTGTTGTCCGCATAGCAATGAAAATTGAGGCCATGTAGACAAATTATATGTCCAATAATTGATGTGATATGAGCCCTGTGGGACACCGTGGGAAAGGGCGGATGTGGGAGGCCTAAAGCTGCTAATGGAAAAAAGCTGTTGTCTAGATGTGAGGTAGGACTTGCACAATGTTAGCGGAATGCCAGTGACACCAATCAGTGATTTTAACTGGTTCAGCAAAATTATATGACAGACAATCTCAAAAGCAGCAGTGAGATCTAAAAGAATGAGTGTGAAACCAGAGTCGGCCGCTACAAGCCTTGGCAAGGACAGTCTCTGTACAGTGTTCTGCCCTGAACCCAGACTGAAGTTCTACCCATAGATTGTTTTTGGACATATGAACCTGGAGCAAACTGGCTACAGTTCGCAAAGAGTTTAGCAAGAAATGGGAGATTCGTAATCGGTCTCTAGTTCTTATACTCCTCCAGGTACAAGGATTTTTTTAGGACTGGGGTAATAGCAGCGATTTTTAGACTGGAGGGAACAGAGCCAGACAAAATAGATGTATTTACCAAACCAAAACAATCTAAATGGTGGTCATAGGGAAATTGCAATACAGATTAACTGAACTATTACAGTTTAATTCCATGATTTTCAGGACGCATCACAAATTGTTTACTGAGGTTAGACAGAAACACCAAGCAGATGAATGTGCCATCAGTCTTTAAAAGTTGCTATGGAATCACTGACAACCTCAGACCTTTACTATGTGTGGTGGAGACACAACATTTTGTCACATGAACATGAAGTATTTAGAAATGTCTTTGTTGTCTTGTTTGTTTTCTACTTTATGTTCTTGGCTTGTTTCTTTCAAATGTGAACATTTGTCACCATTAGTTCAGCCCCAAAAAACATTTAGGGCCCTTATTTTAAATACTATACTTACATTTAGGTTGTTTGCAAATAACCTCTAAACTCCAGCGATTGATAACTTTACTAACAGCATCAGATTCAACCCACTTTGTATACCGCAATGGTAACTTTTATGGAACATTTTGAGTTTAGAGAGCTCCGTGGCCAAGATGCAGGGTGCATAACAGGATAAGATGTTAAATTTGTCAGCTCACTATGTCTAGTATGCTATCTGCTCTCCTCCTGATGTGTAAATATATTGTTTTGTTAGGCTTGTTCTTTGTCTTTTATACTCCAACTAGTCTGTATATGGCTGAATTTGTTTTAAATATGAATAAAAAGTGTACTACAAAAAAAATGTTTTATCTATTGAGGGATATATAATAAGTGAATATTTAGCTTGATTACCCAGACTGTTATATAACGGAAAGGTAGAAAACATTAGAAGAAAAGCACTTCGTGTGGTTTGTCTGTTTTATCTGAGGATAGAAAATCGCTGCAGTGCAGCCAAATGTCCAGTGTATTTCTAAAAATACTGGCTGTGGTAAAAGTATGCAGTATATTTCCTCTGGCAGTGCAATGTCATCTCACCTGTCACAGAACAGACAGGTAACGTTAACTGGCTGACTGTCCTCCTCCAGCCACTGCCAATGCTCTTCATCATCATCATCAATGTCATCATCATCATCACCATCAGAGAGCTCGGGCATCTCCTCGGCACCTCCATCGCAGTCTGTCAAAATAAAACCGCATTACAGTTGCATGTAAGAGAAGCCACACCGTCACGCTGGCGGTGTTGAAATAGCTTTTCGACTTTTCCTCAGACAGATTAGCATTGGCATTGCTAAAAAAAGGATGCTAAAGCGTCGTGTATCGCAACTAAAAACCCCATTCATTAACTGTTTACGCAAAATAAAAGTGATCGCTAGTCAAACTAAACACTTGCATCTTTAACAGCAACAGTTACGGGGGTTTAAATTTGCTATTTACCACACTCACGTGGGTCTGTGTACTTCGCCATGATGTCTCCTAGGTTTCAGTGGACTTCCTGGTGACGTAAAGGAGGGCAGGGCCAGAGTGACACTTCCAGATGACCACCACAAGATGTCGCCAAAGTTACATTTACTGCACACCCAGGGACCGCTCATCTCATCTACTTCATCTTCCCAAACAGGTGAAATGAACAAATATGACACGTCCGCGCTAATAAGCCTCAGCAGGTTTTATTATTACCATTCAAACACTGAAGATATTCCACTCCATACATATAAAATATTTGTGTTGCAGTTTCCATCCCTGCAAATGTCTGATGAATTGTTATGAGCAGGGATATCATAGTTGGAAGTCTTTGGAAAGGTTTAAATTTGCCTTAGAAATGGAATTGTGGTCTGTCCTGCGGTGGAGGATGGCATCTGCCGAGTTGGCTTCCTCTGGAATTGTAGTTAAGATTTTGCTGCCTTTCATTTGGCTATTGGCACCACTTCAAGCACTTCACAGTGCTGACAAATAAATGCAGGTATGGAGTGCAGGCTTGATGGGCCCTGAAGGCTGCATAGGGCACTCTGTAAAATATTAAAATCAAGAAAGTACTTAGTTGTATGTATAGGGAATGGTTGTAACACTTTTTAAATAACCTACCCCACCCCTGTCAGCCATTGTTTAGCTAGCTATATTAGCATAGTGGTTTGAAATTAGCAAGAGAAAAATGCATCACAGGTTGCCTAAGAAACTACAATTTAATCTAATATAAGTTGTACAATTTTATCTGAAATAGTAATACACAAAATATAGTCTTTGTCTAACTTTCTGTCTTTACTTTCTTACTGCAAAATAATTTATCCTGAATGTGCCTGTTTCTAGCCTTGACAACCACCTTGCATCATCGGGGAGAAAGTAGGTAAATACTGAAATGATCTCATGATTATCTTTCCTGTAATTGATGGTGTTACAACACTCCCCATGTTACAACCATACCCGGTCTCCCCTAGCTTTTCTGCTGTTTTTTCCAAAGCCTAGTGGAGTTTTGTGTACCTTGACATGTTAAAAACCACTTGTTTTTGTATGATAGGTGTGAAACCTGAACTGCACCTGTGGAGAATACAGTACCAGAGTGTGCTTCGTCAGTCTTCTCACTATTTGGAAAAGCAAGTGCTTTTTCCAGAGCAATTGTATGCCACAGTGCTTCGCCCTCATGTAAATGAGGCTGAGCTTATGCCAGATTTAAAATGATTGACTTGACTTCTTGGAACATTGCTATTTTGTGTTTCAGGCAAAACAGAGTAAGGATGCTGGCTTTGAATTTGTGGTGATTTAGAGTCACTGCTGTGAGATGAGTAAATGTTGCTACTTGGCCCTCACTTGATGACCAGCAGCAGGGATTCTGAAAATAGGTGGTTTTACTCCATCGTTTAAATAGTCTCATTGTGGACTCTTGGCCTGTTCTGCAGGACAGGACATAACCTATTGAAACAAACTACATTGATGGATACTGTATTAGTCTATACAGCAGGTAACTCAGTTTTGTTAAATGTGTATTAAAAGTTAATGGCTGTCAAAATTGCAGATCGACAGATTAAAATACCTTTCTGAGTAATCTCAAAATTGATCAACAACCAGCAGCCAAAAATGAAGCACAAACAGCATGGCAAAGGGCAACAGGTTTCCAAAGTATATTTTGATATCTGTAAGTATTCAAATAACTACAATATAGTAACCTTGAACCTGACAATTTCCCTAAAACTCTGTAGGGCTCATGGTTAAGCTTGTTTTCAGCTGCACCATACACAATGTGAAAACCTATTGGAACACCAGCATAGACCCCTATTCTCAAAGTCTAAGCAGTGAAATGCTGATTAACTCAGCTGTTGCTGATTTTGGATTAATTGCTGCATGGCCCAAGGCTGCACAGAGGACTGTATGCCTTTCCCCAGACAATGTCAGTTGGAGGTAAATACTTCTGCTTAATGTCACTTGAATTTTGTTGTTTCTGTCACTGTGTATTGATGAAATTTGCAGTATCACAATCAGCTTTATTTACCTGGTATTTGTACTGTAAAGAAGCCATAATATTTGTTATAGTATGGATGAAGTCAGCTGTAGACATGCTGGTGCAAAGGTTTGTATGTTTGGATCAAAAAAGATGTGGCTGTTAATTCTCAGTTTTGTTATTTTATTGTAGAGAAAACTCTTTCAGTTGAAGGACTGACTCTCTTGCTACAAAGATTATTTTTGATAGACTTAGTTTTTTCTCTACTGAAGCCAGTTAAACATTGTTTGGATGAATACTGTCTTATATGAACCTATTGTCAGCTACTAAGATAAGAGAGAAAAATCAAGAACGGAAAAAGAAACCAAGGGACTTTTAATCTCTAGAAATGTGACACTATAAAGGCCATTTGTCTGAATGTAAAATTATCTTTACTTGTGTGGGACTTTATCTCCCAGATCCTATGCATTTGTTTTATGCAAGGTCATCATCCTTCAAGATACTTACTGACTTCTTGCAGAACACTTGTCATAAATGTTTTACCCCAATTTCTCTATGAACATATCTCTAAGTGAGGCACAGCAGTGAGGTAGTAAGCATACCAGGATGCGGTTGAATAGTCAAAAAATTACATCGTTTTTCCCTAAAGATTTTGCCTTGACCACGATGGAAAATATGTGAAGGAGAATTCTGGCATTCTGAGTTTTATTCTCTCTCTCGTTCTCTCTCCCTGTGTAGGTACACAAAAAAAAAAAAGTACAATCAATTACTTATAGGAAGTAACAACAAAATATAGTGATATCTTATGTGACATGTCAAAATGTCTACTGTCAAAAAAGTCCAGATTTTTTTAAACGATACACCTGCAGCAGCCTACAGTACAGGTTTTGAAAGCACAATGTGTGGAGCCACATTCAGTCACAAGGGGGCGCTGCTACATAAGTGAGAAAAGGCAAGTTTATTTCAACATCTCTCAAATACACAGGCAATTCAAAGTACTTTTACACAGAGCAACGAAATGCATGAAAACACAAGGACACCGGAAAATGAAAAAAGTAGTAATCTGGATATTTGACATTGCAAGCACATGCATAATTTAAGTTGGTTCCAAGATGATATCTATCTTTGAGAGAGAAAGAGAGGGGCAAGGACTTTTAAGACCTTTAAATTGGTAACTATACTTATAGAACCATCATCTAGCTTTGGAAAAATTTATTCTAAGTTGTTCCATTGCTGGTACCACTGTAAAAATGGAAAGTCATATCTTAAACAGATTGCATTGTATCTGCATGTTACAGATACTGTTAAATCTAAAATGAACAATAACTGTATATTACTGGTAATATAGCGCATATACCATGCAATTTTTACCGCAGAGATGTGGTATAGCACAGACAATATGGATATTATTAATATTGATAGAACCATAAATCAAACACACAGTTAAATATTAATAAAAATGTAATGAAAACATGTTCAAAACACCCAATATTTTAATTTAGTGTAGAATAAACTCAAGCATTTCCTTTAAGGCAGTTGTTCAGTGTTGTCTCAGAGCACAAATGGTAAACATCAAAAGCCTGTCAAAAGTTCCCTGATGACAATATCAATACAGTGTCATTAAAGACCAAAGAAATTAAACCCAAATACAATTACAAGATTAAATATTTTTCTAACTTGACAGGTTGTCTCCATAAGGAATCTGGCAAACCCAGTTCAGTCAAGTACTTTTCATAGAAACACCCTTTGGTTTTCTGACAGTTGCAAAATCAATGGATAAATGAATGTGAATGTGAAAATCCTTTGACACGATCATGTAGTCATCTCTGTATATCTGCTGAAATTACCTGAAAAGAGAAAATAAAATTAATAGTGTGGAGTCACAGGACACACAAAGTTATTTAACTTGTGCACAGCTTGAGAGCAAAAGAAATATTACTATGAATTTTACAGTTCTTTAGGGGTTTCATCCTGTACGTCTTAACCACAGCCATTAGTGTGTTGGGCTAAAACATGAATTTGGATAACAAATTGTTATCTTGAGACAAAAGCTACTGGCCTTTGTTGTGGACGTTGCTTTTATAAATTAGTGATCATCTTAGAAGACTCATTATCTGATTTATAACAAAATTAGTCTGGATTATAAAACTACAAACATTTACCAACCAGAAATCCTAAGAAGTGCTGTTATGGAAACCAAATAAATATACATACTGGTTATTTAAAGGCCTGAACGAAAAATAAATTGTCACGATTTTAGTTGGAATGGTCGTTTTTACATTTCATTTTCACTGAAAAAGAAAAAGTATAGAAATTATGATTTTTGCTGGGGTACCAAACAAGCATGTACCTTTTTAAAGAATGTGATTTGTAGGGTTAGGATTTTTGATAATATTTCGATCAATTGTTCAGCCCTATTTATTGATGATATTAAATTGGTGTGTGTGTGTGTAAAATCTAAGAGTGCAAGCTTCCATTTACATTTGAGTCACTTTTACCAGCTCGGGCATTAACGTTATGATGGAGACAGAAAAAATACACTGCTCAAAAAAATTAAGTGAACAATGGAACAGTCAATGGAAACCAAAATCAGCAACCAATTGAGGGCTGGAATCAAAATAACACCTAAAGTCAAGTAAACAAACTGAAATCGCAGGCTGATCCAACTTGCGTGCTTTTGATCACGGCAATTGATGACTCGGTGTGTACGGCCCCCACGTGGCAGCATCGGATGCACCAATATGTAACTCAATTGGATTTAGGTCTGGGGAACGTGAAGGTCTGTCCCTCTAAAGATATGCCTTGCAAGACCATCACTGACCCACCGCCAAACTGGTCATGCTGGATGATGTTGCAGGCACCACGTTCACCACGGCATCTCCAGACTCTTTCACATCTGTCACATGTGCTCCGTGGGCTCTCATATGTGAAGAGAAGGGGGTGTCAATGGTGGACATGCCATTGTCATCCTCATGGAATCTGTTTCTGAAAGTCTGGTCAGAAACGTGCACACCAGCAGCACACTGGAGGTTGTTTTGTAGGGCTCTGGCAGTGCTTCTTCAGTTCCTTGTCACACAAAGAAGCAGATACCTTTCCTCCTGCTGGGTTGATGCCCTTCTATGGCTTCTGTCCAGCTTTCCTTTTGTAATTGCCCGTCTCCTGGTATCTCCTCTACGCACTTGAGACTGTGCTGGGAGATGCAGCAAAACTTCTTGCAACAGCCGAGTATGGATGCGCCATCTTGGAGAAGCTGCGCTAACTTGAATGGGCTGAACCTTATGCTACCAGTAGTAACAAGAACACCAGCAAAATGCAAAACTAAAGTACAATCAGTCGGGAAGGATATGGAGAGAGCAACTGTCTGTGGCCACCACCTGCAAAAGGGGTTTTAAAGGTTTGTCTTGCTGTTGCCTCTCCAGTGCACCTGTCGTCACTTTCATTTGCACCAAAACAAGTGACACTGATTCACACTCGCTTATGCTGAAGTTTAACTGACACGATGTTATACTGTGATGATTAAGTGTTCTCCATTTTTTTTTGAGCAGTGTATTCCTTACATAAAAAGGACTAACAACTACTCATTTGTGTGATGCAATACCTCACCAGTAACCTTTTTGTCTAGTCATAAGATTTGGAAGATTTGGTGTCAAGGAGTCCAGAATGGTAATGCTACAGGTAATATTTTTCTCACCTCAGTGTATTTCTGCTCTCTCTTATTTCCCTGTGCTCTTTCCCAGACTGGCGATGGCTCCGTTCTCCAGGATCTCAGTCTTCTGCTCAGGTTGAAGCAAAGTGTTTGACACCATTGCTTTTGCCACCACTTGGATTGGTATGGACATGGATGTAGAACACACAGCAGAAAAGGCACTGAAGAATTTCCTGGCCAACCACTCGCTAGGCCGACTCTCCTGCCTATCTACCAACAAAACCCTGTTGCAGAGAAACACAAAGGTATTGATGACTTATAGATTGTATTGGGTTGGATCTGGTAATTGGAGTAAACAATAACCTGATCGATACGGCAGATTTGACTTTTTTTCCTCACATTAATTCTCAATCTGTCATTCTAGAATGACATTTGTTAGAGTAGTACAATCATCAACTTGTATCATGTAAAAGGGTGCAATCAAATGTTTTGCAAGGGCTGTAACGCAGTGAAAAAGTAGATTTTGTTATAGTTGTGTATTTGATACATTCAAATTTCACACTACACTATTATGATTCATCCATAACTTCAAACAAGTGTATTGTTTACTGAATGGAGTTTTGGTAAGTCAAACTGCCAAATTGGCAGCAAGGGTGGAGTCAAAACAAACCCAAACAGAGTCCATGAAACATTAGTAATTGTCTTCTCTGCTGATGTCAACTAAGGATGGATGACAATGAGCATCAGCCCAGATTGTTCTGCTCAGCTTCCCTACGCATTACAAACTCCCAGCAGCTATCAGAATTCAAAATCCATTCCCACAATCCAATTTGTTATGAAGTAATTTCCTGTTGATGGTTGAGACAATGTTTACATGCCTAACAAAACTTGCTGCAGTTCAGTTGCAAGAGGATGCATATTTTCAGGCACATCTGTGCAAATATTTGGTGTTGGTCAAATTGACAGATTGTTAGTGTCAGCTGTTCACACGAAACACAATACGTCTGTTGTAGATAACATTCATCTATTTTATTAGTTTGGGTTTTGTCTTGTCTCGTGTAGTAAATATGGAAGTGTGTGTCGTCAAATGATTGACTCACCCTGGTCTGTAAATGGAATATCTGTCAAAACCTAGTGCCTCAATATCTGCTTCCACTTGTCCCTGTAAGAAAATCAATTTCATTTTGAATTTCATGTCCATGATCGTCCAATGTCATCATTCAATGACACACAGGTACGCTTTAGTAGAGGAAAAAAAACACTTAAATATGTGGCATGCATTAGAGAAAGGAAATAAAATACTTTGACTTTGAGGTAGAGGAAGTTGCTGTTTTTATCGGCTCCTCTGGAGGATTCCAGGTGGAACTGTGTGCAGCCTCCTGACTTGGCAAGCTCTGCTGACTTTAGAACATAATCATGATCAACGCGGATGAATCCTTCCTGAAATAAGAGAGAAGTAACAGACAAAAATGATTTGAACACTGAAAGTTGTCTGCCAAAGCTTAGCAGTAGTTGACAAAATGTAAAAGTTGGAAACTTAATGTTCATATTAAAAACAGTAAACTAGCTTAGTAGAATAAAGACAGTGATGTGAATAAGAAATGTATCATAATTATGGCTGACTAATAATTCAATGATCTTAACATTTAGTAATATATTAACAATACGAACATATTGAGATAGCCTATATTGTTTTACAGTTATTTTGTATTTGTCCCATTTGACTAAATGGGACAAACACTTGAGTTGATATATTTTACCGTGTAATTTTTCATTACCTTAAATAATATATCAATATTGAGATAATGCTGTGATTTTGGTATTTATTTATTTTTTTTTACATACTGTTCATAAGTGTAATGCCAAACACTTTAATAACACTGCTGCTCTGACATTTAATCTATGCCTGAGAATAAAATAAGATACAGTAGGAACTGCTCATTCACAGTTAATCTGAGACAATACTTGGCAGAGCTCAGATGGACAAATTATGCATTAGCGTTGCTGTTTCTAAACTACCTCAAAGCTTTAGCATTCTGTCCTAAAATTTCCTCCTTACTTACTAGCCTACATCTACGGTGATAACAATTTATTGTGATAAGCTATTATCGCAAAATATGTTAGCCTAGCCAATTTATTAGTTGGGCTCTACTGGGAATGTTGGTAAATGGCAAATAAATTGCTGAGTCATTGCTACTAACCAACAACACCATCAAATCCCAGCAGAAATATATTGTGTTTTGGTAATTTCGTGCTACACTACAACAGTCACAACATAATTCACCAGTAAAGTACCCAAATTGGATTTGTTAAGTTTAACTTACAGCCCCTGCTTTCGCTCTAGTTGTTCCCAGGCAGCAGTAGCCAACATCATGGCCCTGGAAGGCAGCAGCATAATCATCAAGCTTCTCAAAGTCCACCACCTCTTGTGCCTGGAAGCATAGAAAACAGTGTCAAGCAAAATTTCACTCTCACGATAATGAATTTCAGGTAATGGAGTAAAGATACAAGGGCATCAACCCACTAACCAGGTTTTCATATGCTTTGCCCTCAAACATGAGCTGTCTCCTTCCGATGAGAGTAATCTTGGAGAAGATGTTGCGCTCTAGCAACTCTTGAAGCAACAGCTTGCCTGTTTCCCCAGAGGCACCAAGGATGAAACAACTTTTATTTTGCTGCCTGAAGTTTTCCTCCATTGTCTTCATGTCCTCAGCCATGCTGTGGGCCAAAAGAAATTGACTGCTCTCTTAGCACTGTGAATGACTGAAAACATTGATTAATATCCTGGCATAACTATAGGTCTTGTTTTTACATACCAATTTGGGCAATTAATAGGAAATTCATTGTTCAGTTAGATACACTGTGATTGTATAGTGTCATGACAAGAAATGCTATCTTCAGAGGGGCTAGGTATTAGTAGGTTTTTATAGCAAAATCAATTTATCTTTGTCTTAAAGAGGTATCATATAGATAGTAGATGCAATTTAAGACGAATTTATGAGAAGATGCATACAATTGTGAATCCAGTCCTAGTTTTGTCTGTAAATGGTGAGAACACTTTCAAAAAAGGTATGTCACTTTAAATTGACAGATTTCTTAAAGGGGTTTGGCTTGACGTTTGCTCTTTGATTAACGTTACCCAGGAACGTTCCTTGATTAATCGTTGCTTCTCTGTTACGAACACACTGGTGGTCTACAGGTATGGGACCATTTCAGTTAACGTTAACATTAAACATCAATTATATAAGTATTTTGCAACGTTACGTGTAACTTGGGTTAGACAGCAGCAAAATTAACGTTTGTATGTGCAGAGTCCAGCTGGCAGAGAGGCTAACATAGAGCTGTTCTTTACCTGATGTATTTAACCGGATCGGGGTCGTCGAAATAATTCAAAACCGCTGCAATAACAACAATTACGACAGTTAAGAGCCCGGTCGCTTTCCCCAGGGTGGTGCCCAGTAGTTTCATAACAAACATTGCTTTCAGCAACGCTTAAATTGCTGGAACGCTTCCTGGTTGCTTCATCTTTACAGACGGGGCTCTCTTTCTGCGTCGTTGATAGGCTGACGACAAAATCAGAAATAATCGTCACCGTCAATATGATAGACAGCTTGAGACTGTTTTAATATATATATTATTTAATTGGTATGATATTGTAGTACACCCAAATGAAACCGGTACCCCTGGGAAACGCCTGATCATCTAGTTTTTCCATAGACAACGCTTTATGCACAGCGCATGCGCACTTCGAATAATAAAGCCCCATGAGTCCCTACAATATTGCATCTAAAATTTTCACTCTCTGGTACCTATAATAGACCCATTAGACTACTACATAAAGTATCTACCTGTGGTACTTAATTTCTTATCATTAGTTACAATTATAATGTAAATTATATTAATTACTTGTAATTTAATTCATTAGAGGTGAACAGCAGGATCTCCCAATATTAAATTAATTTTGCAAATCTTCTCTGTTACAAGCATTTATTTCAAAAGGGTATTACTACAGTCTAGTCTTTATTAGGAATAAAATACTGATAGCTTCATGCCTTTGTTCTCAGGACAGTCTATTTTATTGTGGAAAGGTAAAGAATTAAAGCCAAACCCCCTTCTTACACAGATCCAAATTAACTCTGCACCATCTCCATTAGTTCTTCTTTCATCCTGCTCAAGTCATCATAGTTCTGACCATACACTCCATCATTAAGTAGACCAAGTAAAGCTCTTTAAATTATGGAGATGCAAGTAATCCAGTGGTAAAAGAAGAAGCCTATATGGATATTTTACTTTCAAGTTGGAGAGAGGAGTTTGTGCACATAGAAGAACTGCTAGCAAGACTTTATTTCCTAATGTTACTCCGTAGAAAACTCCCCTCTCCAACTGTGACTCATGTTTCCACCGGCGTCTTCCTCAAACAACAAATCATGAGATTTCAAAGTGAGAATTGCCATTGAGCGAGACTTCTGTTTGTGGCTAACAACAAGGGCTGGTGTTAGGGATCCTTTTCATTATGTTGTCAGACACCCTGATATAACAGTCTGAGCCTGTTGTGGCAAAAAGAAGCACTTTTTGTAGATGTAATTTTGACGGGCGCAATTGCCCCAAAGGAATACGTTATAGTTCGCGGCTGCCAGCTGAAGCCATCTACTGCGCGGATTCCAAACCTTTTTGTACCTACTAGTCATTTTGACCCCAAATTTATATATGAAAATTGTGCCCAGGTTTAAAAATGCCAAAATTACCTTTTAAGTTAAAGTAGCAATACTAAAAAAAAAACTGTTACATGAAAAAGTCATGCATTCCTTAATCTTATCTAAGCAAAAGTACAAAGGTAAAAGCACCAAAATATAGGGCCTATTTTAAGTGCCACAATTAAAAGGACTCATTATGTGGAATGGCCCATTTCAACATATTAGAATAGAATTGTATTATAATGATCGATGTATTGCTGTGTACATCACTTCGGTGATACAACTGGTTATTGTGGAGTTTAATTAAATTACTCTATATACTGCTGGAGAGCTTGTGAATTTCCCCTTGAGCATCAATAAAATCTGCGATCTTGTATAATACATACCAATTTATTTGATTATATTTTGTATTCTTAATCTAAATCTGTAAAGTAACTGGAAGAAAAATCTAATAAAAGTAGTTGAGCACAATATTTGCCTATTTGGAGTAGACTAGCAGGAAACGGAAATACTTTTTAGACTGGATTTTGGTTCTATTTTAGTGTGTTTGTCATGGCAATGGGAATAATCGGTCTGTAATGACAATGGGATTAAACAATATTCTACAGCAGTGCTCCTATTGTCCTTGCACACGGCACTCATGAGGACATTTTTTTTTTTCAAAAAGGGAAGGGTTTTCAGTGTTTTTATGTAGCAGAAAAAGACAATGCTAGGTAATGACTGTACCAAGAATTTGTCCTCTTCTTTTGAAGTTGCGGCATTTGTAGAGTTCATTAGACCGAGCCAACCCTAATTGACCAGAGAATGGTTTTACACAAAGCAGATGGAGGAGATTGAAATCAAAAAGAAAACCATGAGCCTTAAAATACATTTAAAACTTTTTGTAAACTCTCTGCCACTCTCTCTTCTCACAAAGCAAACAAAATGCAAGCTGCTGTTCAGCCAGTGCTGTTTCCAGCCAATTGGTCAGTTCACACCCCTGAGAAAAGTTGCTGGTAAATAAGAGCAGCTTTGACATATGTACACTTTAAAATGTGTAATGGCCTAATTTGAGGAAACTCTATAAATGTTTTATTGTGCTAAAATCATAAATAGAAAAGCTAGAAAGATATTGAAGAGCAGCATATGATGTTAAACATGGCACATTTTGTAGCTGTATAGAAAGCAGGGTCTTGCAGTCATGAGGATTAAGACCTTCCGGATAATTGTTTATTTCTTTAAACTGATGACAGCTTTTTACATATCAAGCCCTGTCTAAAAAACACAAAGGATTTGTAACTTATTCTAGGATACAATGGATATTTTCTTTCCAGATAAGTTGAAAAGTTTTCTGGGATGGCAGCACTGTAATTTTATCAGGAAATCCAGCCTGGACCCGGAGTGTGAACCAAACCCTGAAAAATGTCTTTGCCTTTTGTCAGACCTTCGTGGGGTTTCATTAGCCAAAACCTCCTCACAAAGAAAGCAAGTCCAGTCACATGCAATGAATTCATCAACACCCCATGTTTTTAACACCCCTGCCACTTGGAACACAAGGCATCGACCCAATTTAATAGAATATGATGGAGCCAGGGATGATCCTTTAAAGATGTCAGCAGTAAGAGACAGAAAGAAAAGAGGCTGAGGCTGAGAGAAGAGGCCTTAAACTGGCACTCTGCTGAAATGAAATGTCGCCTCATTGTTCCTTAGCCGCGGGTGCTAATTGGGCCTAGCTGCGGGGAGGAAAGCTGCCGCTGGGCTCCTGTCTGTCACACCTGTTGAGTCATTGTCTTTCACATTGATCAGACAGGAAGTTGGAGGAAGAAGGCTTATGCCTCAGTGGGTGCGTGGCAGAAACGTGGTTCAATTTCCTTTTAGAGCTCCGCTGCTGGAGGTGAAAATACCAATGGTGGTCAGTGGTCAATTGCATTTGTCTATTGATTAGCTTCCACTAAAGGACATATGGATCATAAAGAGTTGGTTTTCATTGGCTAGTTCACATTCTTTGTACCTCAACCACAGTTCCTCCTGCATATCCTCAACATTGCATAATACTTTTGATGTCTCTGTCACTGCTGGTCTGCCATTTTTAAAACATGGTTTTCAGTAAGTAACATATTAAGGCATTTGCTAATATTAATAGAAAATGTACGCCTGTTTGGAAATGTTGGCACAAAGTCACAGATGTAGTAGAACTGCTTCTTCATACCAAAAATGCACTGTAATGTAACTTTGTTGTGGCTTAAACGTGCAAACAATAAAAACTCCAACCTGGTTCCTTGACTCAATGCTGAATCAAAGTTGGGATGTTTAGTTTAATCTCAACAATACAGTATCTTAATTTCTTTTAGTCACAGTAAAAACAGACTTTTTACTTTGACGAGAATGGGTCCAGAAACCATCTCAGGTGTGTAACGATAAACAGTTCAAGTGTCACATTCATAATATTGTATGTATCTAAATTTAAATTAAAACAAATTATGACACTGCAAAACTCCTTAATTACTACTTTAATGTGCTTACAGCTGCTTCCAAGTTTCACTATTTTTGTTGCCTTTGTATCTTAGTTTTCAATTCAAAATGCAAATGTTAAGCAGCTTTTACATGAAACTAAACTGAATAATAAAAACGTGTAGCATGTAGTCACAAAGATGACGTTCAAATGTCTGAACTGGGTTGGCATCTCCAAACTCTGCAGTTGGGCACAAACTCTGATTTTAAACATCTTTACACAAACTTTAAAATTTTAGATTTCCTCTGTAGGACATGTAATCTGACTATAAAAGTTTTCCGGTAGCTCTTGTGACCTCTGACAGTTCAAGAGTTATTTGATTACATTTGATTGCGGCCTCTGGCATTTCGCAAAAATTACCACATTTTATGAGATGATGTCGCAACTGATCTGGTTAAGGTAGCTATTTTGGTGATTTTTGATATTGCATTAAATTTATTTATTTCCATGACAGATTCTGAAATTCTGTAAAAATTACTAAATGGGATAGAGAAAATAACTTTAAATCAGGTATAAATGAGAAAGAAGCACAAATGCATACATCACTGATTATCATAGATGGACAAACAGAAGGGCGTAACACACACACACACACACACTCTGTACACAAACACATCTTAAGGCTTAGGATACCCGGTTCAGACTCTGGAGTGTGATGCTAATGATGGAAATTAATGGAGCCTGACAGAACAATCTGCTGCCCATTGTCTCCCAATAAACAGCTTTACAGTCCACATGAGCCACAGAGGGGACGGGAGGTTTAAGCTGAGAGCTGAGACAGTGAGAGCAGAAGACAGGCAGGGTGGAGGGTCAGACCTCAGGGGACAGTACTGATCCTGAAGTGGGGATTAGCTCAATTAGAGAGGCACTGTCTGATCAAGATGCAGGGTTCAGTGGTACCTATGATATGTGTGTGTTATGGGAAAAGCCTTCATTATTAGAGCCGACTGTTGCCATTATTTGTTGCTGTGTCTGCTGATGCAGCTGGTGTCAACAATAGTCAAGATGATGCCTTTTGCTTTCCTGTGACCTTCTGCTCAGATATCCATTTATTGTCATATATTTCAATGGTAGTTAATCTCCAATGTGTTTTATCGTCCAAATGACAACAGATTCATGAATATTTCAGTGTGGTTAAAGTCAGCTTGTTTTATCAGTGAAAAAGCATTGTGAAAGTTTTAAGATTAATATCTTCAACTTTTATGTTTTTAGCTTGGTAAAAACACATTCACTATTTTTTAGCATTAGAGTTGCAGTTAGTGTGTAATGTGGTGTGTTGCATTTAATGTGTTTGTGTGTTAGCTTCAATGAAGAGTCGGAACAAGCAGATACAGAATATACATGAGGATGATCATTTAAAATCTTTACAGGTTGTTAAGGAACCCATTTTAGAACATTTGTTGTTATTAGGAAATACCCAGTGTTGCTCTGAATAAGCATTTAAAAAAAGACAACTAGGTAAACTAGAGTGGTCCTGTTGCAAATTGTAATTTTGTTAATTGAAGTAGATTAGCACTGATTATTATTATTTTTATATTGTTTATAGTCAAATGTACTTTTTGTTATGCAATTATATACAACAAAAGCCAAGTCTGGATACCTTTTTTTTGTTTTGTTTTTATAAATGTAAACAAAAACAACTGCCTAAATCTATCAATCAATCGTCATTCTGTGTGGAAGCATTTTTCTTAATTTAAAGGAACTGCAGGAGAAAGGAAAAATCAGAAGTTTGAGGTGTTTAAAAATGCCATAGCAGCTGCCAGATCCTTGGATCAGCTGTGTGAAAAAAGGGGTACAATAAAGTAACTCCACTGTAGGACAGAAGCTCACAGTCTTCCCCAGGCTTGGCTTTGTTACAGGCTCAGACTTGTGGCTCAGACCTTCACAATATGTTTGAGGCGAAACAGAGTATCAGTGGTGCTCAGAGGAGCTTTCCTGCTCAAAGAGCCGCAGCTAAGTAGCAATGAGACCTGCTTTTCCTCCTCTGAGGAACAATGAGCTCATTAAAGGAGTAAACAGATTATCACTGTTTTTCAATAAGTGGTCCTAAAAAGAGTCTGGGGGACCTGGCAGCTCTCAGCAGGTAGAGATAAGACTACACTTGCACATCTGGCCAATCTGCTGCTTGTCAGTCTCTCCCTATTTCATTCTATTATGTCAATAACTCTTACATTTGTGTACACATTTATAATAAAGCCTAGCTTGAAATTAAGGCAATAAAAAGGCATGGATGTGACGGATGTTTGTGAGGTGACATGTTTTTAAAGGATTATTTTCTTGTGGAGACTCCCACAGACTCCCTTTTTTATTTTTTTTTTTTTTGTAGGAAGAATCTAAGCCTTCATACCAAGTATACGGACTGCAGAATATGTCAAGAATGGAAAGGGGAGAGCTACGTGTACTTGCATCAAAGTAGTTTTGCAGTGCCTGTGTCAGGACAACATGTTTGCACTGTGCCAGCGCTGGAAGAAAGTCTGATGGAAGTCGTCTTCATCATTCTGAGGTAAATTGAAAAAGGTTCTGGGTTTTTAGAAATCCTGAAACCAGTCAAAAGCCCAAATTACACTACCTGCAATGGTCCATGCCAACAAATGTGTGAACACTGCAGCATATGTAGACACCCAGCGTATAAAAACAGAACCATGTGCACATCTGCCACCCAAGTTCACATCAGTTTTATAGTATATCCGACTTGTAATGGTCCTTAACCTGCATTAAGATCTGAGCTTCAATTGTGTTACATTGCACATAGCTGATTAAACTTTGCCATATAACCAATAACATTTCGGTGAATGTCCATTTAAACAATCCAAAGAGTGTAGGTCTGCCATACTGCACAATCCAAATCACAGTCAAAATTGTCTGTCATTAGTATGTAAAGAAGCTTGGTAGCATGAGTGCTTGTGATTGTTTGTGACCTATGGAAAACAGGAAGAGAGACGAAAGGAAGCAGAGAAAACAACAGTTGGTCAATGAGGAGGCTTTTTATAATGCTACACATCTATTGAGTCTAACATCAAGTGCAAGTTACCTGAATTGGAAACAAAACTGCTGCCACTTCGCCTGACTGCACCTTTATATTTCTTGCTCTAACGCCGTATGAGAGGCAAGCCTAAAGAGAGTGTAAATACAAACATTCACAAAACGGCAACAAATAACCTGGGCTGTAAAGAGTGACAACGCTGGTGAAAGAACGGCTGCATAACCAGTTAGATTCTGGTAATCAAGCAGAAAAGCTCAGCAAAATGAGCTTCCAAACCATTTACATAAGAGTTGTCCACCATATGTTAGACTCAAACAAAGAAACTAGAAAAGGATATTGGTGACAATTCTGCATAGCGCTACAAGATAGTCTTAGGCATTTTAGACAAACTGCAGACCATCATACCAAACTTTTTTTTTGTTCGTTTTGTTACAAATAAATGTCAGACTTGTAAGAATCTGCTGAAATATATTACAGACACACTCAATCATATAATTTGATCAGCAACTCTGAAAACAAATCTATCTTTTTTCCCCCCAAATATGTCCAAGTCTCACATCTACAGAAAGTTGTTTCCTCATGAACCTGTAGTGTAGCTGTTGTTTTACTGCTCATCTACATACCCTTGTCTGAATGGATGTGTATTCGCCAGTGAGTCCTTTTCATCAGAATGGCTTTGTTAAAGTCAGACTAGTTCACAGGAGATTCTTTTTACTCTGTTGTTGAAAGTTATGCTAACATTAGCCAGGTTTTATTAGCCTATTTTCAATATTAGATTTATTTCAGAAATATAGTTATTCAATATGTTCTTTGATCTCAATCAAGTATGATTTTAGCGCAGAGTTTAGGACCTCCAAGTCCTAATGAAATGTCAACATGTATGATTGGTTGTTATTCATTTAGCTTATGGTTTTTGTCATGAGTAACATGAAAAGAACAGGTCGTTATGATGAGACTTTCCCAGGAGAAAATTAAACTTGAAACAGTTAAAGCTGTACGATCTTGAATGGAGAATAATAATAGCATAATACACCAAAGCCTCTTAGTGGATATTTGTGTTTGGCTTTGAGTTTTCACTATCAGATCTATTTGCTGTCTTAAATCTCCCCTTTGTGGCAGGACGGGTGAAGCTTAATGACTCCTTTTGAACTGCCGTCATCCCCAGCAGAATGGCTTCGGGAATGTCAACCAACTAACCTTTAGTCTCTTTCCCACATCCAGCAACAGTGAAGGGCATGTAATACCCATCTTTCAATTCCTGACTACCACCTACATTCATAATCTGTGAATCATTTTGTCAATCACAAATGCAAACATGGAGCACTTATAGTAATAAACAGCATTGGCATAATAGTCATGGAATACAGACCAACCACATTTGTACTGTTTTTCAGAAATCAAATTAGAGCAGCAACTTCTCTGGAATACAAAATGCAGAAAGCCTCATAATAACTGCAGTTGTGGTGCTTTTTATGTGTATGGGTTTAGAACTTTTTCCGTCAGTACATACGGTATGTAATTGTTGCCATGACTTAATGCCTACCACTTTTTTTTTCTCTCCTTCTTTTTATTGCTGGATATACTTGTTGTTAGTAACATTTTCTGACCTTGTAGGCTTTTGAATCTGGACAGCAAATTTGTAGAAATTTGCTGTCCGTGATGACTTGCCAGGATTCTAGAAAAACGGCTTCAAATATCATTTGTTCTATACCCACACTTGAAAAATACAATATGTAAGATTTGGCCAGACTTTTGGTTTAAAACATTAAACAAATAAACTAACAACAGTATGTGAAGAAGTAACTGTTCTAACGTCATGTCAAGGACATCTACATACTGTGTTGCAGGGACATCTAATGAAGTTAGCGTGCTAACCCGTTAGCCCCAAACCAACCTGTGTTGTAATACGGCTTGTGCCTCGAGAGGCGACAGCCCGATAGTATAGCTCAAGCCTCCCCCATAGTTTCAGCTGGAGATGTGTGCAGGTGGTGAGTTTGCTACATTACAAAAGCTGAGATTGGGTAGCAACTGTGATGTGTCTCTTTTTAGTGTTCATCTCAGGCACCATCTGGTAAAGAGTTTGGTTAAACAGAGGGCTTGGCAGTAATTAAATATTATTGTATATCAACTTTTGGTGGAATCGCGATGATATTGTGTCCATCATTTTACAAATTTCTGTTTTCCAACTCTATAATTTGTATATATTGTAATTAGCTATTAAGGTTTTTATTGGATTGTCGAGTTTTGTCAATTGCATTTGAACAATTCAACAATTTGATTATTTTATTAGCATTGTAACCTCTACATTATTTATTACACCTTAAATCTTATTTTCATAGTTTTTTTTTGCTGAGATTTATGAATGTGGCAATTTTGCTACAAAGAGATCAGACCTGTAAAGAATTTTTTTGAGTGAGCCAATCATACAGGTTTCAAACAAACCTCCAGGTTAGTCAAACTTATTTGGCAAAGAAAACAAAGGCAAATGGTAAAATTATTAACCAAATGTTCCATTATAAACATCCAGTTCACATCCCAGTTTACAGATCAACTTTCTGATTCCTGGTTTTACTGTACTTGGTGTAATAGTGCACACACACAGTTTTCTTGTGTAATGACAGATTATTACTGGCATTTCAGATGTGCTCACTTTCAGCTTTGCCTCCAAATAAAGTGGTTTAGATAATATGACTAAGCTGTTGGCTTGTCTTCAACCTGTTGATCTTCTAATTGGTTGTGTTTCTTGCCCTGTTGGACTTTATTGCAGAGCTGTCTACAATTACATAGCAAGTACATGGTTATCATAGGAATAATCAATACCACACATAATATTCAACTTGTAATAAACAAGAATTATCCTTTTATTGTCAAATGACAATCAGATATAAGACTATTTTGGATGGCAGGAAATGCTTTATGATCGACACCTTCTCAATGTGAAGCTGCTGGCTCTCCTCTGTCTTGGCTTCTGCGTTTTTATAAAACCAACTGAGTTTGTCTCTTGGATGGGCCATGCTGTCCAGTGACCTAAAGGGAGAGTGAAAGAAGGAAGAAGGGAGATCATGTCGGATCATAACGGACCCACCACAGCACAGAGACCTCCCTGCTGATGAGCAAACACCACTACAAATGGCAGAGCTGGCTGGACAATCACTTGGTGAATGGAAGCTAATTAGCTGGAGTCTAATGCCAGTTTACTAACACCTGTATTAACGTGCTCGCTCAGCAGGGAGCCAAGGCTGGCCAACAAGCACTAATCCCTCATAAGCCCAAAGTACTCCTCCCAAAAACTGGCATTAACATATTCTGCTTTAGCCAGCTGTTGCCAGCCTAAACCCAGTGGAGACAGGCTTCCACAGTGATGTGTTGATTGAGAAGAGAAACATTTCAGTGAGTTTGTATTGGGTTACCTGTGTGTTCCCATGTGTGTCAGGTTCCCCCAATAGAGTCCAATACTTTTTCGATTCATTCTAAGATCTTTTTTTTTTTTTTTTTGTGAAATTGAAGGAAGTATTTTTGGAAGTAGCACATCCTGACAACAAACTTTCAGATCTCAAAAAGAACATCTCAAAGAACAGGTGCAGTAGAAAGGCAACCACAAAAAAGAACCAATAAAGGAAACCCGACACGCTGTTCACAGTTCGAAAACTGTTTCACTTGAGGGCAATCGTGTTAAATTGACATATCAGTAAAAATATGTCAGTTTCAAGCTCTGGACCATGTCCTGGGTGCTCTCCTCCTTTGTCATTTTTTCACATCTCACAAACCTAATACATTTTCCAGGCCCCTGGGAACCCATGTGTTCACTTTCAGTCTCATTCCTTTGCTCTTGTGCTCTCTCTCATCCTCTCCCACTGCCTGGGTGGTGGAGTGATCACCCAGTAGCCGTGTGTGTATCAAGGCAAGTGCGATGCCAGTATGTGTGTGTGTAAAGGATTAGTGAGTTTAGCATTATCATGACTGGACTGGCTGCATTCCCTCGCTCCACTAATAATTTGAGGGGAGGAGAAAGCGGCTGGCCCATTAGCTCAGTCTGTTTGCTCAGGAGTTGGCCGACTCTGATCCCCTAATTTCTCTCGCCAGTTCCAAGAGGATCTCTAGCTTTTGTGACAGAGGGATGGGAAGATAAAGGATGGGACTAAGGGGCACATTGATTCAGAGATCTCCGTCCTTGGGACATTCTGTACACTTACCAAACTAATCAGTGTGTGTAAACACAGCGAGACACGTTGAGGGCTGGCGGCTAAAAGGCCGGGGTCTCCAGGGTTGATTAGGAAGAGCTGTTGATGGACCACACTCGGTGTCTGCGCGCTCTGATCAGCAGACCACATACAGCTTGGCTCATGCGTAGCTCTGTTCTGACTGATTGTGGGTGTGGTGGATCTACAAAGTTTTGAACGGATAAATCTTGTTGCTGCGCAAATAGTGCCAGTCATAACATAAAATCAATAGTGAGAAGCATTTAAAACATACAAGAACATAACAGTTATGGTGAGTTATTGCAGGACTAAGGGAAAAAAGACCATTCTCACTCACTTATTTTTAGTGACTTTTTTTGGGGGGGGGTAAAACTAAACATGAAACACAAGAAGCATGGATATCTGATTGACAATAATGAAGGGTCTGTGATGGCCAACTTGTCTCAGACCAAAAGCATCAACAAAAAAGGTTCCTGTTCACACAGAAAATCAGATGAGTTTACATGTACAGTTGTAACATGAATACTGTAAAATAAAGTACACCCAGCAGGTCAGTGATCACATTTCTTCCCTACTTCCTTCCCTACTTCCTTCCCTAATGTGTCCACATTGCGTGTTTACTCTAAGTACTTATAAGAGAGAGAAAGTATACCTATAGTGTGAAATTTGGTATGGTTTGCTAACATTCACACAAAGGGGAAAAATTTGGACCATACACAATGTGCAAAGTATTTTTTTTAAAGTTTTTTGCAGATGTCTCTATTGTGACAGGATGACAGGTTACCAGAAATGCTGTCAAATAAGTAGGTTCATTTTGAATCATTCCAAATTTGTTTACAGGCCCTGGCTCACTTTTTAATTGGTCAGAATGAACATCAAATCAAATGTAAAACTGCAGTACAGTGAAAATTTCAGCTGTGGTGTGGACCCTTGTAGTGACTTGTATTATAATAACCTGTCAATCAGATCCTAAGCCACATCTCAGGAGGATACTCTTCTGTCAGCACGATATGACTCAACATTGTCTTCATTTTAAGTGGACATCAGATCAGATGTCACTATCAATTCCCTGAAGCTACAACCTCTCCTAATACCCCTCACAGCCAATTAGGGGAAGTAATGGCACCAAACCTTTAAGGGCAATGCACAGTGTAGCTAGTTATATCTACACATGCTACCCTGCTAGCCGCTGTCAGTGGGGACAGGGGCTAATGGGCAATCACAGGGGGGCTTATGTTGCAAATCAGCCCCGATCCACAGGACTCTACTGGGGATTCCTGTCCAGTGTTGCCTGATTCTGGAGCTTATGATCCAGTAATGGGTGCTTTGGTGGAGATCTGAGAGGGCCCCATGGGAGTATGATGTCAAACTGGCCCAGGCTTCCTCAGGCTAAAAGGGGCTTTGATAGGCAAAGTAGCTTAGCATATAGAACATGGAGGAACAGGTCCCTGCTGATAGGATGTGTCACTACTAACTTGTACAGGAGGAGCTGAACCCTTACTTATGCAGCCTGAACAGACAAATGTCGGATTATTCAGTGATCATGAATTATTTTTTTAGTTAAATGTTAGCATTTTCGGTCCATGCAGTAATTGAAGTTGGAGTGAACTGTTGTGAGAAGTGAACAAAAAGTATACTCAACAGCCTCAGCAGCATCCACCACATTACCATCACCAAGGTACCAAAGACTGTAGCACTGCTGCTCAGGAGCCAAGAGTACATAGCTGGTACGACACACATAACTCTGGAATTTGTGTGTAATGTTTTCTCTCCGGTTTGCCAGTTAGTTTGCAAAGTTGGTTTGGATTTGGCTGAGACATGATGGAAAGATCATCCTCAACCTAACTACTAGCAGATCGTTTTTTTGTTACTGATCTGAATTTCACGTGTTGGCATTTTAAAGATTAAAAAAAAAAGGGTATTTGGAAAGTTCCACATCGGGATGCAGAGGAACTTTAAAAGCTAATCTATTCTGATGTGGTGTCATGGTTATTAGCTTTAATTTAATCTATAGCTGTAAAATCTCTTGGCAGTATAGATACAGTTGCAAGTTTTATAAATGGAAACTCGGGTATGCTGGGTATGATTCCTACATGAACCTGTTCAGTGTGTCTCCCTGAGTGTTGACATGATTGAGAAATTGACCGTAATGATCTCTCATTGCTCATTATTGATCACTATAATCCTATAAAGAAAATACTAGCCCTGTCAGTGTGTATGTATACTTGTGTAGCGTGTGTTTGTGAGAGGGGCATTTAGGCTGAGTTACAGGGGTTTATGCCGTCTGTTCGTCCTGTCAGAGGACTGGTGGGTGTGTGGTGAAGAATGGTGAAGGCAGGTGGTGTGACTAAAGCGAGGACTGGACCGAATTGGGCGGATGCAGGCTTTAGCTAAGGGAGGAGGAGATGGGACAGGGGTGTCACCAGTCGACAGGGCCTGTCCAAAACAGCGCTGCACACCACACCCACCCAACTGTTCCTCTTTGAGCACCCTTCTGCCCATTTCTCCCTCTCTCCTTCTCTCACTCTCTCTCTCGCTTTATCTCTCTCCTCTCCTCCTCTTTTCCTTTCTTTTCAAAATGTATTGTTAACAAAACGGTTTACAAACCCTGGCTGGTACATTATCCACGACCGCCTCCTGTGAGATTGATTTAAGCAAATGGATTCAGAAAGGGAGGGGGTTGGAGAGGAGGGGGGTTTGCATGGAAAGGATGGAAAAGGAGAAAGTGAAAAGGGGTGTGTTCCTCAGGGCCGCAGCTTTACAAAACCACCACATGGGCCACGTTGAATATTCCCTTTTCTCTACATTTTGAGAAGCCATACATTAAACGCTCATTATACTGCCTTTATGTGCTAGAGAAGGCTCCGCCTCTGTGAGGGCAGAGAGGCTGAGGATGGACTATGATCCCCCTGCATATGCATGGATGGAGCATCTTTAGAGGCTTTCTGACATGTATGATATCATCATGACCGAGAGATTTGACTTTCATAAAGCCTGACTCAAGGATAGGAGGGTGTGTCTATTGCAAGGCTAATTTTTACGGTGTGAATTAGATTGTGTGCAATGTTTAATAAAGTTGACATTTTAGGCCGCTGGCTTTTTTATCACAAATTGGAGAATAGATAAAAAATAAAAGGGGGAGAAATCTGCAGTCAGAGAAGTCAAAAGCTGCTTTCATAGTTAAATGTTCATCTGAGAGAAGCACAATGAAATCAAAGCGGCAAAAGTGACAACAACCATGTAAAAGAAGCTACCAGTTTCTTTTTTTATAAGTTTCACTATTAAAAAAACTGAAAAGCACAGAAGTTTAAGTGTGTTGGTGCTCGTCTGCCTTTATTCTCATACACTCTCAAAAAGGACACACTTCAGCTGTGGATGATTTCATTTCACGTTTATATTTCATTTGACTTTTTAACTATCATATAATTTCACTTTCAGCTCCACTTTCACAGTCCTCACTACTTTTTCCAACAATAGCATCCTTTTCTAGAGGTGTGTGTGTGTGTGTGTGTGTGTGTGCGCGCGGCGGGGGGGGGGGCAAAGGTTGAACTGGGCATCCTATCATGATAAATCACTGGTTAATGAGGAGTCCATTGTGTCCTCACACATTGTGTCCCCCTCCTCTCCTCCTCCCCCTTCTCCTCCTCCTCCTCCTTCTTGTGTCCCTTAGACCGCTACCTTTGGGTTGTTAAGCTGACACAGATAATGAACTGGCCGCTTTGAACTGTCCTCACAATATTGACTGGTTGCACACAGCAGATGTCTCGCTGGCAGAAAGCAACTGGTAAAAGCACATTAGGTTAACAAAGAGAGCTTTGCTTTGCAGGGGTGGAGACTGGAGAGGAGGTGGCAGAGGGGTCTGTGTGGGTGTGTTGTGGGGTAGGGGGGGCAGAGGGGAGCAGAGGGCAACCTTCAGAGTTGACAGATCTCAGATTATATCAAAACACATTTGTCGATTTTTATATGATGAAGAGAAGAAGCAACAAAGAAGACATGTTTTTAGAGAGAATATCTTCACAAACTTGCATCATGTTATGAACATGTGCATGATTTTTAACTTGTGAACAGTTCTTCCTCAAGTGTAAACGGGAACAAAGAAGTATGTTTTAGGCAATGAAATAAAATCTAGCAACTGTTAATGCACAGTGTCTTTGCAAATTACAGCTATTAAATACCAACTATGCTACACAGTTTTATATTTTTTTAGATGTCTTTTTCAACATTTCCAGGTTTTCATTCAATTCTTTAAATTAGCATACTCTTAAAACTTGCTTGAGTTGCACACTCCATCGTAGTGAAGTCTGTGTTAAAATTTGTCAAAGTTATGTTATCATTGAGTGGTAACGTATATGCATATTGATTTGAAATCTCATAACAAACGGTTAAATACATCCAACTGTCTCAAACACAGCAACACTGTTTGTAAAGTGGTTAGCTATGATGTAAAACATGCAAAACCACGTATATGCTCCTTTTTAATGATAACAATCTGAATCACAATTTGACATAGGTGAGTTCATTCATTTTGTTTGTAGATAACAAAATGATTAACTTCATTTTCACTCTCCCTCTCGTTATTGTTTAGTGAATGCAGCGCGGCCTGTGAGCCGACGGGTTTCTTTCTGGCAGTGGGACGGGTGTCTAATGGGTCAATAATAAGCCGTGACTAACCGTCTCCCTGAGGAGCAGCTTGGCCAGACACACACTCACAGAAAGCAGCAGAAAGGTATGAGCCACCAACACTGATTACCATATAATTGCAGCCATTGTATTTGACATGGAGAATTAGTAGCCCGCTAGGTGGCTAACTGGCCTTTTATTCAGCTTTGGACTGGACAAAAAAACACACCCACACACAGACATGCATACACAACTCATACTACATGTAATACGCATTTATGTGCACAAAATTATTTGTGTTGTAACAGTACAAATCCCCGCATGGAAACCACAGATCTCTAAAATCTTCGAACTTTTCAGGAACAAAGACAGACAGGTTTTGACAATATTGTCGTCTTGATCTTATCTGGTAGTTTTTTGTTGTTTTTTTTTTTAGCCCAGACAATGAAGATGAGAATCTTTCAGCTGCTAGAGGAACATTAAATTCTTTTGATGAACTAAATGTTAGAGATTTTCACATAGGCAGTGAATATGATTTATTCAAGATAATGATTTGGTAATGTAAATCCACATGTAAGGAATGAGATAAATGAAATGAATACTTCTCCGCTTATTTAAAGTTTAACCTCCAGCCTTTTGTCACCTCTGTTGAGCCACCACGTGGAATCAAACTAGAAGTGCAGGGTCACATCTTTACTGTTTCAGCGGTTCTGTTTTTAACCATCTGAGTTCAAGGATCAGTGTTCATACACATTGGATAATCTGCTATGGCTGCTATTCAAATTCCTCATTTCCACTTTGAAAATTACACACGCCGCCAGTTGTGAAGTTGTGAGCTTTTCCCACAAGGAACCATGTCCTCAGACAGGCACGGAACAATTTGATTTGGTTTCTGGCATACCAGTCAAGAGGGTTAACAAGACCCACCGCCATGGAGTTCCTTCACCCCACGTGTGGCTAAACGATCACTTCCCTGCTCGCTTCACATCGCAACAAATCTCTTTTCATGATCACTTTTCACTCTTTCTCTTTCTTGCCTGACTGGGTCTTTTTAAACTAAGAGGGAGAGGAGAGAGAGTCAGGGAGCGAATTTCTTTCCCTCTTAAAGGTTTTGTGTGAGGACGGCTGAGTGAGCGTCCATTATAGAAAAGGCCCAGACCACCACTGGATGACCCTGCTAAGAGCGACAAAACCCAATTGGTCACGGCCGCCAGCAGCTAATGGGCCAGAGAGGAATAGCCCTGGGTGGGTAATGACTGTATTCTCTGCCTTTCTCTTTACGCCCTTCTGGTGCCCTCATGCTCCCCACATTACCCCAGCAGCCACCAGCCCTGTTCCCTCCCCGTGCCCCTGCACCCAACCCTGGGTGCCCCCCTCGACTTCTCTTCTAGTGTCATTTTTACTAACACACACATCTACACAATGGTGTTGGTCACAGTGTCTGTCTGTGTAGTGCGCTTGGCAACAGATGCAGCAGACAGATCAGGCAGAGGTAATCAGAGGACCATATGTTTGAATAAGACATGGTCCTCCTGCCTTTTCCACAGTGAAGCACGATGAAGGAGTCACTGTCCAATGGAAATTAGATGGGTGCATTTTACAGCTGTCCCTGACTAAGGATTTACCTAGTTGAATCAGAATTGTCAAGTCTTGATATAGTCGACTGACAGTCGAAATGTGTGTATTTGTGCGTGGCGATTGCGGGAGGCAGGGGGAGGTGTTACACACGGCAGCTCTGCTTTAATCTTGAGAAGCTGCAGAGCTGCAGTCTCCATCTATTAGTCAGTGTAACTATCACTGTACATTTGCAGCTAAGCTGAGGCTTATTGTTGATCATTTTCTCTCTGCTCGCCTGCCATTCACCGGTCTTGTGCAGGGTTTAAAAACTATATATTATTCTTTGTGTGGTTCATCAATGGTGATAAATGATCCAAACGTCCCACGAGGTGCAAACAACCCTGCACAACACCAGTGAAGCTGGGGCTCCGTCTCTTCAGCAAGTGTTCCTCTTCTGCCACTACACACATACATGCTACACCTACACATGTGCACCCAACCAATTAAGGGTTAGGGTTACAATCTAGGATTTATTCACGCACTCTAAAAACCTTTTATAAAAAGATTTTAACATAATTGTTTTACAGCATTATATGTTGAAATTTATATGGAAATGGGCTGTATATTAACTTATTGGTAGAAAACTGGTAGTTCTATGTAAAATCAGACGTTCAACACCCCCATATCGCCAAAATGGTATGATCCTCGTTTCGCAGCGGCGCTTCGACAGATTGACAGTCGAATCAGGCACCGCCCATCAAATCTTCCACTATTGGGGGTCACCCCTAGTGCGTTTAAACCAATAAGGGCCAAATCATTTTTAGGCTTCTAAGGCTGTTTTAGACCAACAAGTAGAGCTGCGTAAAAAAATGCAGCCTCCCATCTGTTTCCTTGAGGAGACTGGATTGACACCAACAAGTCTCCATAATTGAAGGACAAAATAGTTTTTTCCGTCAGTGCCTTCCAAAATGATTTGCATGACTACTCCGAAAAGAACTGTTTTTTGATATGCCACCTTTACATTTAAGGTCTGGTTGAATTTAGGCAACTAAAGCCAGCTGGTCAAGATCAGGGAAATATCCTTACTTTTTTACGGTAAAAACAAAAAACAAATGTTCATTGCAGATCTGTGATGGGTAACTTTAGGCTCCAAACTTAAAGGTCGGATGTATTAAACGCCCACCCACCAACCACCCACCCACCAAACTCGACATCATGACTTTTCACCTCGCTACATAAAGCTGACACTACTTCCTGTAATGGCCCTGAACATTGGCTCTGGATGTAAATCCTGACCTGCAGATTATTATTCCAATGCAAACATAATTGGATACTAGATGAAAAAAGACAACGGGCTTTGACAATGCACAGTGTTGTGGAAATTATATTCCTGGTGAGGGGTTGAGCAAAGAATTGAGTTAAAACCAACCGTTGTGTTTGAAGAATTTATTTAACAAAAGAGAATAAACAGAAGTACTAAAACACACACACATAGCTGGTCCAGAGACCTGCCACCTAGGGCAGCTTCGGTCGTTACACAGTCTAGGTTTCTATGTTTTGGGGAACACAGATCCTCTCAGCCTTGAATGAACATTCCAGGAGAGGAGAGAAACAAAAAAAGAGGAAAACAACCTCACAGCTCTGACCTAAACCCTAGCAAATGTGGACAGACTAACATAAGGAGTATAGGAGAGGAAAGGTTAAGGATAAAAAAACAATACATATATCTATAAGACATAACAATAATAGTAATAATATAATAGAACATACATAAAAGATTAAATTTAAGAGGAGTTGTGTGCTCACAGTTGGTTGTAATTGTGAATTCTGTTTTTTGCTGGTGCAGCGTATAACCAAGGAAAAAAGACCTGTAAGACGTATCTGGAAGTCCTGACCATGACCCTTTTCATCATGGCAAGATGATCATTTGCAGATATGAATTAAAGTGAATATTTGGATTCCATTTATAAGTCATAAATACTCCTTTTATTTCCAGCAGTAGCAAATTATTAACACTAGTCACTGTCTGGAAATAAGTAGCCTAAAATCAGTCTGTCTCTCCATGTTAGCAACTTTATAGTCTTGAACATGGTTGCTTTGTAACAGTGGTTTGATGACTGGGAAAAGGTGCTTCTATTGAACATTTAACTGTATATATTGTTGATGATTATGTATTGTATATGTAAGTCATAGCATAGACTGAGTGCAAGTCTTTTGAATTATCATGTATTTGAGTATGGGTGACCATTTCTGAGATGTGCAGGTAATGTGCACAAAGCTGTATATTGAATGGGGTTAATATAATTTTGATTCAGTGATTTTGAAAATGAAACCTCTCCAGTTGATACTGAAAACTAAGTATTAGTTAGTAGTGGATTTAGTTTAATTCTAAAATTCAAAGGAAGAGCTGCTCAAGGATAGTTAAAAAATAGAGAGAAAGCTAATTGTGGACAATGGGGCAACAGCTCCATTTCTTGTTTGTACAAAACTGTAGCTCATTCTTTTGTCTATCATTGCATTCGTACACTATTGTACATTTTGTAGAGTAAGTATATGGAGGTGAGACAGAGTGAATGTTTCAGTATGAAGCCATTCTACTGCTGTCAATAATGTTATCATTTGCCATCAATTAATGTTGACTCCGTGTGTAACTGCATGGCAGACTGAAAGAAGCTGTTTGCTCTGCCAAAGATTCTTTACGAGGTAAAAGAAAATCTCTTTTCTACAGAAAAGTGTTTCTGTAGTTCCAACAACTCCAACAGAGCGATACATATTCTCTGTCCATTTTAGGAGTGTCTTTTGCATCAGTCTTTCATCCATATCATACTTGAAACTGTTGTAATGGTTTTGAACCAGGATTTTCAGTATTTGGATGAAGTAGCTTGTGAACAATATGGTGTGCCACATTTAAGAAGCTACAAACGTTTTCAAATAGGATTGTCTAAGACTGTATATTAACTGACTCTTGAGATCGAGGCCAAAACAGTTTGATGAGGACATACCCAGTTGAAGATATATAAGTTTAATAGTTGTGCATAAAAATGAGAACCCTGAGTGGAAGGGATAGTCACTTGTTTGTGAAAATGATGTTGATAAGGCAGTTATTGGCAGGACAGTTTTGGATGCCGGGTGGTGGAGTGGTTGGCAGCAGATAGGAGGAGTAGATGGAGAAGAGTGGAGGAGGAGGTGGTGGTGGTGGTGGGCAGGTCACACTGGCTCTATTCAGGCCTTAAGACAACACCGCACAGAATGATAGACTCCTCAGGATTGTTTGTCCCTCATAGCCCATTCTCCCTCCTGTCTCCCTCAATGGCACCCTTAGCCGCACATGAGAGGCTCTCACAGGTACCAGAGTGAGTGTGTGTGTGTGTGTGTGTGTGTGTGTGTGAGAGAGAGAGAGAGAAAGTGTGTGTGTGTGTATGTGTGTTTGGAGGGTTGAGCGGGGTGGTGGAGGGGTGGTTGTATTTTAGAGATAAAGCCTCCTAGTCCTATGGTTGATTGCCCCGCTATAGACACTCACTCAGTGGCTCTGAAAGGCTCCCTCAGACA